TGTAGTCCTTGCGTTGACTAATCTTTTCCGCCTCGCGCACATACAGCTCATAGGCATCGTCATTCTTGGTAGTCACCAGGACAAGCGGCTTCTTGTTCTTCAATATATTCGCAATCGCATTCTGTACGAACTCCACTTGCTTCTCAACGCTACGATTTGGCACCGGACTCACATCGAACACAACGACAAAGCCATCGATACTCAAGCGTCCGTCGGGCATCACCTTTTGTTCGTACTCCTTTTCGATGCCCAGTTGATTTTTGCATATATACATCAGCTTCTCTGCCGAAAAGACCTTAGTCGCTGTGCAGCGTTTCAGATACGGATCCATTTTGCCGACTTTGAACGCTTGAAATGTCGAATCATCCATAAATTCTGTTTGTTCGATTATATTGAAATTGTATTCAACGCCCTCGTCCGTCGTCTTGCGCACCTCGCCCCAATAGAGAAAGTGATCATTATTCACAATGCGACCACTAAAATCACTTTGACTTAGCACTGATATGTGATCTATAAAATAATCATCGGCCATTGGCCGCATAAATCTGTTGCACAAACATGATTTACCAACGCCGACCTGGCCGCGATCCTTTTCGGTCCCGGATAGTCCAATGACCGAAATATTGAATTGACGCATCTTGTTGTTGTACCTGTAGATGGAGTTGAAAGAATCATTAGATAAATACAACAAATTTATACAGGATCCTGTTTATATTTAACTTGGATGAAATCCAAATTTTAGAGCATTATAATTACATTTATGTTCGATGATCTCAGCTATTTGTAAAATATTTGTATTCTTTTCCAATTTTGTGGGATGTGTTGGAGGGCTCCAAAATTCAAAATATCCAAAATCTCTTCATTCATCACAGTGAATTTATCCTACACATTACTGTGTTTGAAATCATTAGCTCCTGCAGTATTGAAAATCAAATCAAATGATCGATTATTTTCGATAGGGAAATGGTATGAGCTATCGTAAAATAATAGGAAAATCGCACTCTCTCTCTCCATGCATATTTGAACAACATTCGATTGACCCAACTGATCAATAATATATTTTACAGGTTTGACACGTTGCCTTTTGACTGTTATATAACGCTATTATACAGTCTATATCCACAATCGGCTTAGCATTCATATAATAGTCTTCGTCTTATTCTGAGTCATATAATAGCTAAAACAAGTTTGCATTAGAAACCTTAAAAAACGTTTAATACATACAAATATTTCGATCCGTATGCTTGATATATAATATATTTACAGAATTGTATATGTATACGTTGCCGATTTTTCCTAATTAATGTTTATATACATATATAAACAATTTGTAAGTCTGTAAGCAATTTAACTCAAATTAAATTAAACAAGGGTAGTTTGTGAAGTTACAGGCAAAATTTAAAACAAAATTAGTTTACAAAGCTCAGTTTTTCGACTGAGCCCGTGTGATTAATCCAAACTTGAATCAAGCCAATAAGATTTAACAAGAATTACTATGGGAAGTTTGGGAACTTAAATAGTTAATTCCCTTATAATATAACTATAATTAGTTGGATTTCCTAATGTAGTCATTAGACTATAGGTATATACTTGAATCAACCCCATTTAAAGTAAACAAACAAACAAATGTTATTTTCACAACTTTTATCAATCACCAAGAATAGTTTATTCAAGAACTATGTTAGCCTTACAGACAGTTTTCTATGGGTTCTTAAGACATTTCTATTCATAGAACACTTTTGTTCTCAATTTATATTGGGGGACACAGAAATTGATAACGCCGAAATTACTTCGCGTATCGCCACAGACAAGTGACTGGCTAATGCGTGAATGAAAAAGTGTCGGCATGTTTGACCAGCTATTGCTTACAGGGTATACAAATTTCAAGGAAAGAAGGAAAATGAAAGAAAGGGAAAAAGTAACCGAAAGAACGACAACAACAAGAAAAACAACTGCGGTAGGGAAGCACTTGGCTGAGGGGGCCTCCTCCATTGGGATACATCCACGACTGGACATCTCATACGCTAGAGAGCAGAGCAGAGTCGAGCCGAGTTGAGCTAAGCTGAGCAGAGCAGAGAGCCTGCGCTTAGCGGAGCGTACACACACAGCCGGCGCAGTCGAATGCAAATTGCCACCTGCCGCCCTCCTCTCTACTCTTCCCCCACATCGTCCTGCCACCTACTCGCTACAGCGGCAGCAAAAAAAAAAAAAAGAACACATTTCCACAAATTCGAAATGACAAACATTTTGTGGTTAACTTTGCACACGCACGGACACGCACACAAACACGCACCTTTAATTGAACATTATTTGAAATGTTTTTTTTTTTAAATAGATATTTTCGTTTCTGATTGTAAAATTATATTTTAGTGTTCGCTCGAAAAGTTCTGCAACAAATTGAAAATCCTTTTGTGCCTGTTTCTGCTGTTGCCGCTGCTGCTGTTAGCTGCGCTGCTGCTGCTGCTACAAACGCAACTAAGCAAGAAACAGAGAGCAAATACTGATTTTACGAGAGCGAGCGCGCACAAGCGAGTATCCATGTTTGTGTGTGTTTGCGTGCGTGTGCGAGAGGGCGCGCGCGACTTTTGAGAGAGCAATACCAGCAGCAAGACAGTTATGTCAAATGTGGGTGGCGTATTGTTTTTGTTGTTGTTGTTGTCTACACGTTTGCCCTGTGCATTTGTGGTCTTGTCGCCTGTTATCCTGCTCTCTCTGCTAACACATTTTGCAGCAATAGCATGTGCTCTCTTCAGTGTTCTGTGAATGAACACAAACACACGCACAACAATTCTATAAGCAGTTGCAGTTAGCTGTGCTCGTGTGGGTGTGTACGCTTTTAATAAAAGCAACAAACACTCGAAACGTTAATTGAGTTTTCCGGCTTTACAAGAATTACACAAATATGCGAAACAGTTGCTGCTGCTGTGCGTTCTAAAGCCATGGCGTTGCCACCTTTTGCGCTCCATCTGCAAAAGAAGTGGCAAACACAAATGCAAACTGCAAGTGCAGCACGCAGAATCAAATTGTATTTTACGCAGAGGTTCCCAGCAACAGATTTCCTGTACAATATGTGTCTACATTCCCCGGTCTGCACAACAGGCAACAACAACAATAACAAAAGCAACAACTATACGATTAGTGATGGACTCGAAACGGGTTTCTCTCCAGTCAGAGTTGGAAAACAATACACTAATTGAGACGATATGCATATCTTATCGATTGTATTAAATTTCATAACTTATAATCTGCAATCCCATTTCCAATTTGGTATAACTATTTCAAGCTGTTCCATTTATTTTGCTTTTGGGCTACGAATTTAATTGTCAATGTGGATACGTAGATAACAAGAACACAAGCAACAATACGCACACGAAATATGAACACCCACACATGGTGCAGAGTCCTGCGTGTCACGTGAATAAGCACGACTTTCACACAACACTATCAACGAAAACAGCAACAACAATGACGACGACCCTTGCACAAAACTCTCTGCCTCTCTTTCTGGTTTGTTGTTGATGTCAATTGTCTAGCAAAGAGCGTCAAGCAGCAGGGGCGGTGGCGACTCTGTAAGGGGAATGTGGGAGGGCAGCAACTGCATGTGCAGCGAATGTTTAATGGATCCCAATCGGTTGCCAATTTTATAAACTTCATTGAGTTTTTAGCCAGGTTGTAGTAGTTCATGAATCGAGGGGGAATTAATGAAAGGTGGTTGAAAGGGCAGGGCAGAGGCAAGGAATGGGGAAGTTCTGTGATTACCTGCAGTTGCGCACAAATAAGTGGACGGCTGGACAGCCAAAAGAAACGAACAAACACACACTCGATGGTCGTCGATTCAGCGTTTACCGATTCCCGATTCTGCTTTCGATTCCCGTTGTGTGTTCGTTTATCTTGACTTTGTTTCGTGCATATGAATGTGGATGCTGAGAATGGCATCCAACACACAAAAAAAGCCTTCTAATACTCCTTTGGCAGCAACAGCATCCACCAACACATACACAGAGAGGAAAATAGTTGGCAGTGAGAGAGGGAGAGAGAGAGAGGTCGGGAGAGAGTTGCACCGATTTAGTCAAGTTTACATGCACTGCAATTAGGCACTTGGAAATGTGCAACAAATTGGAGTTGTACACTTATTTGCTTTAATTATTTTCCAACCAGCCACAGCCAAAAGCAACAGCATTTTCACAAATACACATAAACTTACACACACACTTATAAAGTTACACACACTTACGCGCGCAGACCAAAAGAGCGAGCGTGTATACAAGACAATTACGAATCAGCATCGTAAAGTACAACAAAAAAAACGAAAAAAAAAAATTGGAAGCAGAGAGAGAGAGAAAGAAAACTTCCGACGCAAGTGAAAAATGTCGAGGCGTTTACGACTAACTTTTACTTGAATTTTATGCACAAACTGTATTAAACAATTACTCACAATTATTGCACTTGCACAGCTCCAATGCGTTTATTAAACGTTATAAAAATTAAGAAAATAAAACTATTTTTATATATTCCTCATCCGAGCTTCAATCTGCAAAACAATCTGAGCTACAAATTCAATCGATGGCAACTAAGCGATATCATCGATTGTCTTGCATTTGTGCTGTCCATCGATAACATTTCAAAGCTAACTATCGATATTTATAGTTGACTTTCACTTTTTTTTGTATTTGTTTATTATAAATAAATACCTGAATAATTACTGAAGCTAAGGTGAAAGTAAGCAACTGTAAATAAATAAAACATTTACATTATATGTAAATATACATAAGCATGCCAGAAGCAAGCCAGCACAATATGTTTTAGGTTTCGCAGAGCAAATAGGCGCAAATGGAGGCTATTATATTGTATTAACTATTTTTCAATAAAAAACATACCATTTTGGGAACTGTAAAATAAATATTTGTTTTTTAGGTGCACTGCAAATTCAAAAAGTTATAGCAGTTTACCGCGCTGCTTAGCAGTTGTCGCCCCCAAGTGAACTTCGATAAGTCGATAGCTTTAATTGTGCTCAAATCTTTATTTGTTGCTTGCGCAATTTTTTGTTTATTAATTATAAATACATTTAATAAAAAAAAAATAGAGAATAACCTAAATAATGTAACGCTTAGATGTGTTTGTTTAAAGAAAGAAAAAACATATATGAAATACATTCTTGTTTGCCGCTTCAATTGAATTTTTGAATTGCAGTTGGCAGTGTTCCCGGCCAGCTGCGACGGCGGCGGCGACGACGACGCATCTTCTCCTCCTCCCACTGTTCCTCTTCTTCTAGCATTTGCGTTTGGGCGTGCGCCGTTTGACGCCGCAATTTTCCACCTTTTTGTTGCCCTTGGCAATGGCCAGCAGCTTAACCAGCTTCTTGTGCGAATCACCAACGATCCAGCCGTGTTTCTGATATTGCTCACTATCATCAAAATGTTTCGTCGTTAATTGTTGTGGCTGCTGTTGTTGCTGATGCTGTGACTGTGCATGTGAATGTTGCTGTTGCTCATTGGATGTCACATCGGCAGGTGACTGGGCTTGTGACAGTGCTGCCTCGGCTGCTGCTGCTGCACCTGCAGCTGCAGCTGCTTCGGCGGCCTCCACATTGATGCGCCCAAATTCATCGTCGCTGGAGCTGCTCCAATAATAAAGCTGTTTCTCGCTCGCCGGTCGCTTCCTGCGCGCCGGCGATTGGCGATGCGTTTGCGACTTTCGTTTCGTTTTCAAGTTTTTGTTGCTGCTGCTGCTATTGTTGTTATTGTTGTTAGCTGTGACAGCAACTACTGCTGTTGCTTCTGGCGTCGCCGCTGAAGCTGTTGCAACTGCAGCTGCAGCTGTTGCTGTGGCAGTTTTATTGCTGCTGCTGCTGCTTCGCGACTTCTGCTTGCTCGCACTGCTCGCTGCCGTCTCCTGTTGCTGCTGCGGCTGCGGCTGTTCCTGGCAATGATTCAGCTCCGGTGATTCCTCTAGCGTTCGCTGCTGTCGACTACTGCGCGTCCGTTGCGCTTGCTGCTGCTGCGACTGCTTTTGTTGTTCTTGTTGTTGCTGTTCCTGCTGTTCCGCTGCTTGCTGCTGCTTGCCACGCTTTTTGCTGCTCGCCGCTGGCTTCTTGGGCGCCTTTGGCGGCTTGGCTACGGTCTTGGCACGCGGTGCCTTTGCTTGCTTGGTGGGCGTGGCTGGCTCTGTAATACGCTGCCGCGCTCGCTTGGGCTGCAGCACCGGCTCCACTGGTTGTTGTTGCTGCTGCTGCTGCTGCTGCTGCTCCTGCTGCTGTTGCTCCTGCTTGCGTCCTTTGCGACTCTTGGCATTCGTCACGGACTGCGCCGCTTTCTCTCGCGGCGCTGCAAACGTCTCCGTCTGCGCCTCGCTGACCTTGCGCTTGCGTCGCTGCTCCTGCTGCTCCTTTTGCTCAATTAAAGCTATGATATCCTTGGTGGACAGGAACTCTTCGTACTCATCGGAACTCCACGTCTCGACCAGCTTCTTGGGTCGATTTGTGGCGCAGCGTCGCTTCGATTTCCGATGACCCTCATCGATGAGCTGCTCCAAGTCCTCAGTGCTCATGCCCAGCTCCGTCTGCAACTTGGACAGATCTTTGCGTGGCGGTTGGCTAGCAGCTTTCTTTACTCCAGTTGCCTTTCGTCCTCTTGCCTTGGCGTTCTTCTTGGCCGCTGGCTGCAACTTTTGCTGCTGCGTCGACTGCTGCAGTTGCTGTTGTTGCTGCTGCTGCTGCTGTTGTTGCTGCTGCTGTTGTTGTTGCTGCCAATCGAGTGGCGCTGCAGCTGGCGACAACGGCTGCTGTTGTTGCTGCTGCTGCTGCTGCTGTTGTTGCGGCTTGGCTGCTCCACGCAGCTCATCGAACAGCTGATCCAACTGTGCCTTATCCTTGGGCGCACTCTTCACGGTCAGCTTAGTTGTCGCTGTGCTCGCATGCTTGAAGATGCGTCCCATTATGAGGGATTTGTTCTCAAAGGTCTTGGCGGTGGCGCGACTTGAGCTGCTGCTGCTGTTGCTGTGCTGCGTTGTTGAGCCGGACGAAGAGGAGCTGCTGGAGCCGCTAGAGCTGGCCACGTGCGCTGCCGATGACTTGACCACTTGCTGCTGCTGCTGTTGTTGTTGCTGTTGCTGCTGTTGTTGCTGCTGAAGTTGCTGCTGCGGCAGATGCTGCTGTTGCTTCACACTATCTCCATCCCCATCCCCATCCGCATCACCGTCCACATCCTCACAGCTCAGCGTACCAAAATCATAATCATCCCGATCCGAATAGCTCGCCGTCGAGACGCTGTTGTTGTCCTCCGTCAGCAAATTGACGCTCGTCTTGGGCTTCTGGAACGTAATGGGCGCCTTCTCCTCCAGTCCAATGTTCTTGAACGGACGCTCGGGTATAATGATGCGTCCAGAGGCCGGCGGCAGGGTGGCGCTGCTGGCAGCAACTGTTGCAACTGTGGCCTTAATTATGGACGAGGCGTGCATAATGGTCTTGGATGATGTTGAGCTCTGCTCGGCGACAGTAGTGCCTGGCTGCAATTGTTGTTGCTGTTGCAAATGTTGCTGCTGTTGCTGTTGCTGTTGCTGTTGCTCGTTTAGCATTTGCTCGGGCATATAGTCCACGCCCGTTGGCTTCTCGCTGCCCAGCGCAATGTCCGCCAATTCGGTGAGCTTGCAGACCGCACGCGTCGTCTTGGCCACATCCATGTCCACTGGCAGCTGCGTGACGCTCGTCTCGTAGCCCTTCATGGCGGCTTTGGTCTTGAAGCGCGATGTGGTCATGTTTGTTGCAGTCAGCGCTGAGAACTGTGATGTGGCCGAGTAGCTTGGCGACATACGCTGATGGTGATGATGATGATGATGATGATGGTGGTGATGTGAATGTGGATGTTGCGGATGTTGCGGATGTTGCGGATGATGTGGATGTTGTGGATGTTGTTGCTGCTGCTGATTGTGCTGATGCAGCTGCTGCTGACTGTGCTGTTGATGTGACAAATGGTGATTGCTGCGAGTAGAAAGTGAAAAAGCAAAATTACTAATTGAACTAGGCAAGTTCAGAACTAGAAGAAGAAGAAGAGTCAACACTTACGTGGGCGTGGCAGCGGGCGGATTACGAAAGAGCTGCTGTATAACTGGCTGATGGGAGACAGCTGCAACTGTTGCTGGCAGTGGCACTGGCGGAGGTGACGGCGACGGCGATGCGGGCGACGACAATATCTCAACTGCTGGCGGACTAGCGGGCGTCAGCAGCTCCACGGGCTTGCGTCCGGCAGCACTGACAATTACCGAGGGCGTTGTTGTTGCCGTTGCCGTTGCCGTGGCACTCTTCAATATGTTGCAGCACTCGTAAAAGAGACGCTCGTCGGGATTGAGATTAAGGCGGGCAGCACTGTGGGCGGGACTCGACGAGTGTTGTTGTTGCTGTTGCTGCAGCTGCTGCTGCTGCTGAGAGTGTTGCTGTTGCTGGTTGTCATGTAAGCGCAGACTCTCTTCCGTGATGACATGATGACTAGAAGGTAGCTGTGCTTCAGGCGCAGGAGCAGTAGCAACAGCAGCAGCTGCCGCTGCCGCTGCAGCAGCCGCCGCCGCCGCCGCAGCAGCAGCAGCCTCTGTTGGCACAAGCACTGAGGCGCGTAGCTGTTGCAGCTGTTGGACAAATTGTTGCTCAGTTGATGGTGTTGCTCCTGCTGTTGCTGCTGCTGCTGTTGCTGCTGGTGTTGCTGCCTCCATTGCTGCTGCTGGCCGTGGACTGGGCGGTGCATTGCTCTTCGATTGCAAATACTCCAGCTCGGACAGCTTGGAGACGTGAGCCAGCGTCATGTTGTGCTTGGACAGCGATGTCGATGTGAAGAAGCTCTTGCCGCACAGCTGGCAGGCGAACTTGTCCGCCTCGTCCAGCTGGGCGCTGCGATTGCTGCGCTTCTTGGGCCGGCGTGTCAGCAGCACGCTGCGCCGTCGCCGGCGCCGACGACCGCGACCCGAGCGACCCACATCCTGCGAGTAGCTCGTATAGACACTCATCTCGTCATCCATGTCCATGTCCATCAGCTCGGTGTTTGTATTCTCATCGTCGGTGCCGAAATTCGAGTGCTCATCATTGAGATTTGGAGCGCTGCGAACGCTCATCGAGGTTGGCGGACGATAGAACTTATCCTGGTCGTCCTTGTCCTCCTGGTCGAACTCATCGTTGGCAAATTCAAAGTCCTCATTGGCAGCCGACATGATCTTCTCGTTCACATTCTTAGCTATTTCCGTTAGATAGTTGTCTTCCTCTTCCAGATTGTCGCCGTGCTGCTGGTGGTGCTGCTGATGTTGGTGCTGTGATTGCTGCTGTTGTTGCTGATGCTGCTGTGCCGCTTGTCGCTGTTGATGCTGCTGTTGATGTTGCTCCTCCTTGTGTATGTTCTTATTCAGACGCGGATCACGACTGTAGGTGGGCAAGGCGGCAGCAGCAGCAGCAGCAGCAGCAACAGTTGCTGTTGTTGGCGATGGCTGTTGCTGCTGTTGTTGCTGCTGCAACTGCTGCAGCTGTTGTTGTTGCTGCTGTTGCTGCTGCTGCTGCTGCTGTTTCAGATTCTGTTGCTGCTGCTGTTGCTGTTGTTGCTTCTGTTGCTGCTGCTCTTTTGCTGCCGTGCACAGGATGCTCGGTCGCAGAATGCAGCTAGCAGTGGGCGTGGCTTTGGCTGCTGCCGCCTCTTTCGCCTCCTTCGCCAGCAGCTGCTTCTCGATGCAATTGGAGAAGCTCTCCAGCGACGATTTCAATGCACTTATATTCGTCTCCGGTCCCAATGGCGCCGCCTTGCCACGCCCCCGCCTGTAGTAGCAGCTCTGCCGGCGCTTGGGTCGACCGCGTCCAGCCGGTGCAGCAGCACCAACTGTTGCTGCTGGCTCGGGCAGCGCATTCTCCGTTTTGCAGCGCTTCGCGTCGCCGCCAACTGCTGCTGCTGCTGCTGTTGCTGTCGGTGCCGACAACTGTTGCTGATTGAGCGACGCATTGCGCTTGGTGCTGGACATGAGCAACATGCCCGTCAGCAACAGATCCTCGCTCTTCTCGTACGCCAGATTCTCGAGCTTCTTCAGATTGTCGCGCCGCGCATTGTCGATCTTAAAGCTCTCCAGCAGCTGATCGGCAACAATTGCTGCCAGCTCGTTCTTGCGGCGACGTCGCTGCTTTTTCTTGGCATCCTCCTTGGGCGGCGTTGGCTCAGCCTCAGCCTCAGCCTCTGGTGCTGATGCTGCAGCTGGAGCTGGAGCTCGCTGTGGCTCTGGCTCTGGCAGAGATTCGGGTTTTGGTTCATCCTCCGATTTCTTTTCCAGCTTTGTCTCCGGCTCTGGCTCAACTTCAATTGCGATTGCCGGCAGCAATTCTGTTTGCGGCAAACTATGAAAGCCGGACGATGTGTTGTTGTTGTTGTTCATGTTGCTGCTGTGCTCCTCGAGCAATGCGCTGCAATTGAGCTCGTGCCCACTGCTGGGCGTGGCACTGCGACACACACTAGTCGCAATTGCTGTTGTTTCTGTCGATGTTGATTCCATTGTTGCGGTTTCTGTAGTTGAAACTGTTGCTGTTGCTGCTGTTGCTGCTGTTGCTGCTCCTGCTACACCTGCTGCTGCTGTTACCACAGCTGGTGTTATGGGCGGCGCTACAGAGATGACAGACACAGGCATGGCTGGCTTCACAGTGGGCGTGTCAGCAATGGGAGATTCAGGCGACGATTCCTCTGCTGGTGTTGGCGCTGCTATTGGTGCCGGCAGCTGCAACTGCAATTGCTGCGGCGACATTGGCGACAACTCTCGCTTGGGCGATGCTGGCCTTGGGCTGGTGGGTGTGGCAACCATAGGCGTCAGTGTTGCAGCTGGCGGTGTGGGCGTGGTCGCTGGGGGCGTAACCAAAGCTGGAGGCAGTGCCAATAGCTGTTCCGCATTGTCATTCGCTAGCATTTGGGGGCTGTCCGGCAGCAACATGACCTCAGCTGTCGGCGTAGGCGTGACCGTGGGTGTGGGTGTGGCCGTGGCTGTTATAATGGGCGGCATGGCAGTCATCAGCAATGCCGAGCGACAATCGATGGTCTTGGAGCGCATGCTGCGCTTCTTTGGCGTTAGATGCCTAACGGGCACAGCAGGAGCCGGCGCAGCAGCAGCATTGGCAACTGTTGCTGGTGTGATAGCTGTCGTTGCTACTGATGCTGCTGCTGCAACTGTTGCTGGCGTGGACACTGCTACAGCTGCCGTTGCCGTTGCCGTTGCGGTTGCTGCTGCTGTTGTGCTGAACAAGACGCCAGCACTGGGCGCCACAGCCAGCGGCAACTGTTGCTGTTGCACTTGCTGCTGATGTAATTGCAATTGTGGCTGCTGCTGCTGTTGTTGCTGTAGCTGCTGCTGCTGCTGCTGTTGCTGCTCCTCCTCCTCCTCCTGCGGCAAACTGGCCTGCACGGCCAATATAACCGAGTTGATGGCATCGTCGATATGATTGTTGATCACCTCGTCCATGCGCGTGGCGGGCATCTTCTCCTTTTTGCTGGCCAGCTCTGAGGCGCGCTTCTTGGCCGGCGCTTTGACGGCGAGTGGCGGCGTCTGCGCGACCATCGCGGGCATTGCCACTGGCAGCGGCAGCACGGGATTTCGCACCTGCGGTATCTTCAACAGATCCAAATTGGAATAGTAATGCGCAGCAGCAGCGGCTGCGGCCGCCTCGGTGCCACGCGCAAGCGGCAGTGCCAAGGCCAATGGCAGTTGCTCCAGAGCAGCCGCTGCAGGAGCTGGCGCTGGTGCTGCTGGTGCTGGTGCTGCTGTTGGTGCTGGTGCTGGCGATGATTTACGTTTGGATTTCTTGGACAAATCCAGCGGCTGCATCTCGTCCAGCTGCAGCAGATTGCGCGCCTCGAAGCCGCAAATCGTTTGACGACGCGCGGGCATTGCTGAGTTGCGTTGCTGCTGCTGCTGTTGCTGTTGCTGCTGCTGCTGCTGTTGTTGTTGCTGCTGCAGCTGCATCTGAACTGTTTGCTTTACATGACTCAGATTTAGCGGCTGCTGCGGCTCCATCACATAGTTAGCTGGCACTGGCAAATACATTGGCAATTTCGGCAACAGCAATGTTGCTGCTGCAGCTGCAGCTGCTGCTGTTGGAGGTGGTGCTGGTGCTGTTGCTGTTGCTGGAGCTGCAGCTGCAGCTGGAACTGGAACTGGAACTGGTGCAATAGCTGCTGTTGCTGTTGCTGGTGCAGGTGGTGGTGGTGGTGGCGGCGGTGGTGGCGGCGCCGGCGCTGGCTGAGGTGGTGCAGGCAGCTTAACAGGCACGGGCAGTGGCACAGGCAGTGGCAAAGGCAGCGGCAATGGCAACACTGCCAGCGGCAACTGTTGCTGCTGGGTGTGCTGCACTTGATGTTGCTGCTGCACGAGGTGTTGCTGCTGCAGCTGCTGCAATTGAAGTTGTTGCTGCTGCTGCTGCTGCAATTGATGTTGTTGTTGCTGTTCATTTACATATGGCTGCATTTGCTTGGTGGCTGCCTTGGTGGGCGTGGCACGTCGCACAGCAGGCACAACAACTGGCACGGGCACAGCAACAGGCAGAGGCACAGCAACCGGCACCGGCATAGGCAATGGCACAGGTAATGGCAAAGGAGCAACTGTTGCTGCTGCACTTGCAATCACTTTAGTAACTATTGCTGCTGCTGCTGCTGGAGCTGGTATTGCTGCTGGTGCTGGCGCTGCTGCTGCTACTGTTGTTCTTGTTGCTGTTGTTGTTGTTGATTTTGTTGTTGTCGCTGTTGCAACTGCTGCTGCTGTTGTCGTCTCGCTGGGCGGCTTTATAATGCGCCTGGATATGGCCTTGCGTTTGGGCGTCTTTGGCTGCAACTGTTGCTGCTCGGCAGCTATCGTCGCGGACTCAGTTGCCGGCAACGGTTGCTCCTTCTCTGCTGGCTGCTGTTCAGTCTTGAGCTTCTCCTCCAGCTTCCCTGTCAGCATGGCTATGCAGTCGCTAATGCGCTTGCTGCGCTTCACAGGTTGCTGCTGCTGTTTGCTGGCAGCAACTGTTGTGGTCGCTGCTGTTGTTGCTGCCGTTGGTGTTACTGTTGCTGCGGGTGCTGTTGCTGTTGCTGCTGGCGCTGGTGTTGTAGGCGGCGTTGGCATTAGCTGCTGCTTGCTGCTATGCGTGGGCGAGACAACAGTTGTTGTTGTTGTTGTTGTTGTTGCCACTGCTGCTGTTGCGGCTGTGGCAACTGCACTGGAAGCTTTTGCTGTTGCTGTCGCTGCTCCTGCTGTTGTTGCTGTGCTGACTGGCCCGTCAATTGCTGGCAATATTTTCACCTGCTGCTGCGGCTTGCGGCGATTTCGCTGCTGTTGCTGCTGCGGCTGCTGCTCGCCAGCAACTGTGGCTACTGTGGCTACTCCAGCTGCTGCAGCCGGCTTGGCGCGCACCAGACGTGAGCGCGTGTTACGCAGCGCATGATGATGCAGATGATGGTGATGATGGTGCAAATGATGATGATGATGATTGTAGAGCTTCTTGGCATTGCGCGATTGCAGCTTCTTATTGGGTTTGCCCTGCTTCTTCGATCGTTTCTTGTTGTCCATCGGAAAGATCTTTTTGCACACGCGTTTCGCCGGCAAATTCTCAAGCATTTTGCGTATCGATTCAGCTACAGCAGACAGAAAGAGACAAAAAGAGAAAGAAACAGCGAAAGCAGAAATTAGATACTAATTGAGGTTTTTCATAGATCTATATAATAAATTCACATTATCTACCACGCTTTATTTTCAATTTATTATAGCTCGTTCGTCATATGGAATTCTTACTGTATTCCATCCCATATCAAAAAACTAAAATCTCTCTCTTCCTTCTCATAGATTATTTTTATAATATATTTTATTATATTTGTATGTATTTAACGTTTTCACTAAGCCCTAAGTAATTTTTATATCTGATTCACTGTTCACACTTATACTATTATTATTATCATTATGAATCGGTTCGTCATGAATCCTTATAATATTCAATCGAATCTAATGCTTATCATATGCTTGCTCCATTTCCACTCCATTCAATATCTATTTTCCTCCAATCAATAGACTCTTCAAATTAGTTAAACCATCTCTCTAATTAGTATTATCCCATATATGTCTATTATATAGATTAGTTCTATTGTTCTTCATATTTCAATGGGCTAAATCCCTTCTCTCATAAATATTATATCTTTGTTCTTCAAGAATCCCATCTAATCTATTGTGCATCATCGGATTGCTTTAGTGTACATCCAGTATAAATCGCCCTACTCATAGCTATTGCATATATGTTCGTCCATCGCTAGTCATATTGCTGTTTCACTGTATACCAATCAAATCGAATTGAAGTTCACAAATATAAATAAAGTTGTTTCTCAAAAGTAACGTGCGTCAAATGGCTGCTTCACTGTACCTCAGCAGATGTACTTTCTGAACAGCCGCATCAAATCCATTCGTTCGTCATATGACTATTCCACTGTACTTCAGCAAATCTATTCTATGAATAACCTAGATCGCCTCATTCACTCTTCCAACTGCTCCTCAGTTCCCATCACTTCCACTGCATCTTCTCCGCCGTTCGTCATATGGCTGCTTCACTGTACCTCAGCAGATGTACCTTCTGAATCGTTCTTCCCATAGATATTAGATATGCAACAGTTTTTCAAATGCAATTACATCCCCCGTATCAAATCCATTCGTTCGTCATATGACGACTTCACTGTACTTTAGTAAATCTACTCTCTGAATAGCCTATATCGTCTCCTTCACTCTTCCACAAGCTCCTCAGCTTCCATCACTTCCCCTGCATCTTCACCGCCGTTCGTCATATGGTTGTTTTACTGTACTTCAGCAAATCTACTCTCTAAAAGGCCTATACCGCCTCTTTCACTCTTCCAACTGTTGCCCAAATGCAATCACTTCAATCCGTATCTCCTCCGACGTTCGCCATATGGTTATTTTACTGTACCTTGTCAACTCTATTCTGTGAATAGCCTATACCCCCTCTGTCACTCTTCCAACAGGTCCTCAGTTCCCATCACTTCCCCCATATCCTCTCCGCCGTTCGTCATATGGTTGTTTTACTGTACTAACACTCACCATCGCTGGGTCGTTGACGCGGCGGTGTTTTCGTCTTATTCGAATTGGAATTTGAATTGGAACTCTCCTCGGACGCATCATTATTGTTGCTCGCCTGCACCTGCTCCTGGTCCCCATCTCGATCCCGATCCCGATCCCGATCCTGATCCTGATTTTGGCCAGTGGCTGGCATTGGCACCTGTTTCTTAACCTTCTTGTTGTTCTTGCGCAACAGCTGAGCAAAATGCTTGGCGGGCTTGTTGCAGGCAGTGCGTCGCTTCTTGGAGCCACAATAGTAACGGTATTTGCGCTTCTTGGCCAGCGACCAAACGTAATCACCCGAACAGTCGAGCATATGCCGATAGAGATCCATCAGGCCGCTGCACTTGCGGCCACATTTTGTGCAGCTGCAACTGTTGCCGCTGCTATAGCTGCAACTGTTGCTGTTACTGTAGCTGTGACTGTTGCTATTGCTGTTGCTGAGGCTGGCCGGGGAGCAGGCGTTCGCCTTGATATCGCTGCTGTCGTTGTCCTCCACCGATGTTGAATTGTTGTTGCTGCTGCTGCTGCAGCTGGTATTGCTATTGCCAGTTGCTGTTGTTGTCGCTGTCGTTGCCGTTGCCGTGGAGCACGGCGATCCGCTCACTCGGCCCCTGCCAAAGGCAGACGACACAGCCGAACAATTGGATGAACTGGATATGGCTTCGTCCTCAACAATGGTACGCTCCTGCTTGTGCAGCAGCAACTGTTGCTGTTGCTGTTGCTGCTGCTGCTGCTGCAGCTGTTGCTGCTGCTGCCAATGCTCGGCCGCATAGCGACTCAGCGCACGCTTGGGCATAAATAGATGCCGCAACAAGTTGCCCGCCAGCAGCTCCCGTCCGACCAGCTCATAGTGCGTCGCATAGATGTGCGAATGGCGAAAGGTTTTGTGCTCCTCGAGCGCCTTGCGCTGCTCGAACTTGGCGCCGCAGCAGATGCATAAATATAAACGAGGACGCGCCCACTCGCCGCTGAGCACAAGTGTTGTTGTCGTTGTGGCTGTTGCTGTTGTTAGGAGACGTTGATGTTGCTGTTGCTGCTGTCGTTTTGGCTGCAGCTGCAACAACGTTAAGAAGTTTTGCTCAGAGGTCGCTTGCGCTGGCAACAGCTGTTGGTTCTGCTGCTGCTGCTGCGATTGTTGCAGCAACTGTTGCTGGTCCGGCTGCTCCTCTTTGATAATGGCCTGCTCGTTCTGCTCCAGCATTATGTGCGGCAGGAGACGGCGATCCAGCAGCAAATGCAGCTGCTGCAAATGTTGCTGCTGATCGAGCTGTTGCTCCAGCTGCTGCTGCTGCTGCTGCTGCTGCTGTTGCTCCTGCTGCTGCTGTTGCTGCTCCAGATCGTGCTTCTGGCGCATCGTCAGCTGCGTCCACATGTCCAGGCGCGACAAATCGCGCAGGCCCATAAACGGTTGCTTTAGCTTCTTGACCAGCCGCCCGCCCTCGTTGACAATCGTGAACTTCTTCACGTAATCCCATTTCCACTTCCAGCTGTGCTTGGTGTGCGGTCGTCGCGCTGCCTTGGCCAGCGGCAAGGCTTCCAGTCCCAGGCCCAAGCCATCGCCGAACTGCTCCGCCGTCAGCAATGTAGGATATGCGGCGTTGCACAGCGCCAACTGTTGCGGATTGCTGGCAGCCACAACGCTAGCAGCACCAGCACCAACAGCAGTGGGCGGCTGCGGTGGTGCCGGGCCGCTGCGCAGGCGCCCGTCGAGATAATGCTGCAGATTGTGACGCACGTTGAGCACCACATCCTGATAGAAGTTGTCATCAAAGACGTGGCTATGGCTGGGCATGCGAAAGTGTGTGTCATCAGCAACTGTTGTCGTTGCAGATGATGCTGCTGATGATAATGATGACGACGATGACGATGACGATGATGATGATAATGCTGCTGCTGCTGCTGCTGCTATTGGAGCTGTAGTTGTTGCTGTGCTGCTGCTGGCAGCCGTTGTTGCTGTTGCAGCAGCAACATTATTGGAGTTGCTCAAAGATGTTGCTGCTGCTGCGGCGGCGGCAGCTGCTGCTGTGGCTGCTGCTGCTGCTGCCGCTGCCTGTCGCTGAGCTGCACGACTGCTGCTGCGCTGCTGTTGATGTTGCTGCTTTGTTGCAGCTGTTGCGTTGTTGTTGCGATTGCGTTGTCGCTGCCCGGGCAGACGATTCTGTGTGAGACCCAAGCGAAAGAGCACCGGCTCCTCAGCGCCAATCATAGAAGACGATTGTGACTGTGACTGTGACTGCAACTGTTGCTGTTGCTGTTGCTGGTGTTGCTGTTGCTGTTGTAGCTGCAGCTGCTGTTGCTGCAACTGTTGCTGGTGCAGCAAGCGCATATGGCTGTGCAGCTGGGCAGCATCATTGAAGCGCAACTGGCATTGCTGGCAACCAAAGTATTTGTCCGCATGGCTGGCAATCAGGTGGACAAATAGTTGCTCCAACTGTTTGGCGGGCAGACAAATTGGTGGCTGCAGCGTTTGCGACTTGGATTTGTTGCAGTGCTGACAGCCCGGAAAGTGGGCGTGAGTGGAACTGTGAGTGCTGTTGCTGTTGTTATTGTTGTTGGTGGAACGATTGCTGCAGCGTCGCTCTTTACGTTCCGTATGAAATTTATCCACATGCTTGGACTGCAGCTTGCTGGACGCGAACTTCTTATCACAGTACAAGCATAGAACTTTGATAAAAGCCGTTGCTGAATATTCCTCAAGTTCGCGTTGCTGCTGCTGTTGCTGTTGTTGTTGCTGCTGTTGCTGTTGTTGCTGTTGCTGTTGTTGCTGTTGCAGCAAGTGCAACTTTTCAACGAGACGCGGCAAACGCTCCAGAGGCACACTGCATACCAGCGAGGCAGACAGTTGTTGTTGTTGCTGCTGCTGGTGCTGTTTCTGCTGCTTGTTCACTTTTTCCAGTTCCGCTTCCACTTCAATTGGTTCCAATTGCTGCTCTCGGGGCAGGCTATGATTGCGTTTTTTGCGTGGCGGCGTTGCCAGTTTTTGTGCAGTTGGTCCAATTGGATTCCCATTATTATTATTATTGTTATTGTTATTATTGTTATTGTTGCCATTGACCTGCTGCTGCTCCTCGGAAAATTTGAAGCCACGGCGCAAGCCAAAGCGCGACATGGTCTTCATATGGAAGCTGTTCTATCAAAATGCTGTAAAAGAAATACAAAAACCAACAATCAAAATCAAATTTCGTAGTGCACTGTCTCAAAATATAAAAAGCTCGTATGTATGAGTGCGTGCATGCGTGCGTTTTCATGTGAGTGTGTGTGTACATGTGCATGCGTGTGCGTGTGTTTGTGTGCGTTTGTCAGTGTGTCCACAACTGCAGCAGCATCTTAAAATCAATAAAGAACAAACAATAAGCCGAATAAAAGCAAATAAGCAAAACGCATTGTTAAAGCCGAGCGCACATTTTGTTGACGAATGTGCGCAAATGACAAACTAGACGAAAAAGAAATAGAAAACGGCATATAAACAAAAACTAAACGGACGCACACACGCACGCACATGGAATACACACACATATATACACGCATATGAACATTTACATATGCGACTATGTGTGCGTATGCATGTTGAAGTTGTAATGAAAAATTATACAATAAACATTTTGTACACACTATTTTTTTTTCTTTTTAGATGAATTTCGGTGTTGTTAATTTTTATTTAGTTTACCCCGCTTGAAACGCTGCTGCCTAATTTGTTTGCCGCCTGCCTACACTGCCGCCTCTTTTATAGATTTCTACGACAAAAAATCTATTTTTTCTCCTTTTTGATTACTTATTTTCTATCTTATTTGTTGGCCTTTTTGTTTTGCTGCTCGAGTTGCGACCGTGTTGGCGTTTTGTTGTTGTTGCTGTTGTTGCTGCTGCTGCTGTTTTTTTTTTTTTTATTGTTTAGTTCGTTTTGTTAATATTGCACTTGAATTCGTTACATTGATTGGGGCATGAATTAATTGAAAAATGCACAGCATTTCCTTTCTTTTCTTTGCCTTTTTTTTTTATTATTATGTACTTATATATTTTTCCACCCTAACAAACTGCGTTAGGAGGTATCTAACGTTTAGCCCAAATCGATGCGTGCGTAGAGCACAGACAGTGGCAGAGCAGCGGCTGAGGCAGAGGGCAGCGCAGCACCAACTAGAAGCAGCGGCAGGACACTGAGTTAGAGGTGGTGAACGATTTTTCTCTGGCACGAGCGAATGCGGTTTGAAACAGTCCATGTCCATTTCCATTTCACTTGCCGCAATTGAATTGCTTAACCCATTTTATGCGCGCACAACTAATTCACTAATTGTTGTTGTCTTTTTTTATTTGTTATTTTTTTGTGTTAAGTATTCTTTTAATTCTTCACGCACACACACGCATACGGCACACACACATATTTAGTTGCTCAAAATAAATGTGTTTTCTTATGAGAAGAATCGAAATCGCCTCAAAAAAATGGTCGTGTTGTAGCTACAGTGTGTACACACTGCCCAAAATGTGTGGTTTATTATTCTAATTGGGTATCGATACTAAACAGTAGCGATAGACGCTTGAGTCATAGAATATATATTTATTGATTCACATTTTTAAACTTTATTCTAATTAAAGGTATTTTAATTGCATATGTGGTTATTGAATCGTTCAATAAAGTAAGTAGAAAATTTGCTAAAATATCGATACTTGTAAAATTTGGATAGTCACTACAGCACCAATCGATATGTGGACCATCACCCATCACCAGACTTAGTGAAGCTTGTTTTTAGCCAGTCATTTACTTTTCCTCCATTCATTATCCACCGGAACGTTAAAATAATAAATACAAAATGGACATATTCATGGCAGAAAGAGTAAGCATTTTGTTAAACCATACTTTATTATTGCTATTATAATATATTTTATATTGAATTCTTCTACCCCTTTTAGCAAGATGAAATTGAATTAAAGCCAAAAGATGCGCACAGCTCGTTGGATGAACTAGATCTGGAAGATTTATATGTGCGCTATAAGGTTGGCCCCGTCTATGTTATATTCAATCCGCAATTTATAATTTCTAATCCGCCATTTTTTGTTTTAGAAATTGCAAAAAACTTTGGAATTCATTGAGGTGCAGGAGGAGTACATCAAGGATGAGCAACGTAATCTTAAAAAAGAGTATTTACATGCACAGGAGGAGGTGAAACGTATACAATCGGTGCCGTTGGTGATTGGCCAATTTCTGGAAGCTGTTGATCAGAATACTGGAATTGTCGGCTCGACCACCGGTTCCAATTACTATGTACGCATCCTCTCCACTATCGATCGTGAGCTTCTGAAGCCATCTGCGTCGGTTGCCTTGCACAAGCATAGCAATGCTTTGGTCGATGTCCTGCCACCAGAAGCGGACAGCTCCATATCGATGCTGCAGCCCGACGAGAAGCCCGATGTTAGCTATGCTGATATTGGTGGCATGGATATGCAAAAGCAGGAGATTCGAGAAGCTGTCGAGCTGCCGCTCACCCACTTCGAGCTGTACAAACAAATCGGCATTGATCCGCCGCGTGGTGTCCTGATGTACGGTCCACCCGGCTGCGGTAAAACGATGTTGGCCAAAGCTGTGGCCCATCATACGACCGCCTCGTTCATACGCGTCGTCGGCTCCGAGTTTGTGCAGAAATATTTGGGCGAAGGCCCGCGCATGGTCCGCGACGTATTTCGACTGGCCAAGGAGAATGCGCCAGCCATTATTTTCATCGATGAAATCGATGCGATTGCCACGAAACGTTTCGATGCCCAGACAGGCGCTGATCGTGAAGTGCAGCGTATTCTGCTCGAGCTGCTGAATCAAATGGATGGCTTCGATCAAACGACCAATGTAAAGGTGATTATGGCAACGAATCGAGCCGACACTCTGGATCCAGCCCTGTTGCGACCGGGTCGCTTGGATCGTAAAATTGAATTCCCGTTACCGGATCGAAGACAGAAACGGTTGGTCTTCTCCACCATCACATCGAAAATGAACCTCAGCGAGGATGTCGATCTGGAGGAGTTTGTGGCGCGTCCCGATAAAATCTCTGGCGCTGACATCAATGCCATTTGCCAGGAGGCGGGTATGCATGCGGTGCGCGAGAATCGTTACATTGTCCTTGCCAAGGACTTCGAGAAGGGTTATAAGAACAACATCAAGAAGGACGAGCAGGAGCACGAGTTCTACAAATAGATATACTTAAAGTTACCAACATTTTTGTTCTTCATTCACGTTTATCGTAACCCTCAACTAAGAATTATAATTATAATAATAATAAAATGATATCTTCTTATATGTATGACATTCCCACTTCTGTAACTTGGGCATTTTCTATGGAAGCTTGCAAGAGTGAAGTTATTCGAGCTTAGAAACAGTTTCAGAAATATGATTTGAAGGTCTTTTATATCGAGCCCTTCGAATATGTTTCTCTCGGTCAAAGCATTTAGACTTTGTTTCCAGAATTAAGACAAATCAGAAATGTATAAAAAAATGTGCATTTTATTTGTTGTAAACACACGCACAGCAAGCAAACAACTGAAAAATCAATAATCAAAAATAATAATGAATCAAAAAAGAAAAACAAATATCAAACTAACTGCAAGACAGTTTTTATTGTTGTTAGTTGGTGTTGTCCTTGTCAGTAGTCCATGAGTCCAGCTTAACATCAATTTAATTGGGTCACGTAAAGGCTGATCAAGCAATGGCAACAGCTCCAGCTTGATCGGTGCTCCAGGTGTAACTACTTCATCAGTGAATTGACGACAGCATTCACATTGATGGCCTTGAGGTCTGCATAGGTTTGTCCAGTGCCAACGAACACAATCGGCTGGCCCGTGATATAGGTCATGGAGATGGCGGCGCCTACTTTGTCGTCGATCGTATCGAATTTGGTCAGAACGATGCCGTCGATGATATGGGGATTCTCATTGGATGAGTAGTCTGCCAGAGATTGATTGAATTTGACCAGCTGATCGACCGCCTCGTTGCCAACAAGCGCCTCGCCCACAAACAACACCAGATCCGGATTGTTCACCTTGATTAGCTTGGAGAGTGAACGCATCAGTGGCTCATTGTCCTGCATTCGTCCAGCCGTATCCACTAGCACCACATCCACTTTTGTATCGTGCGCATATTTGATAGCCTCCATGGCGATGCCAGCCGCATCTTTGCCATAGCCCTTCTCATAGAGCTGCACCATGGTACGCTGCTTGTGCTTCTCTGCCGGATGCAGTGCATTCAAGTGTCTTGTATGTGTGCGCAATTGTTCCACGGCGCCAGCTCGAAACGTGTCACAGGCAGCGATCAATACACTGAAATCATTCTCAATCAGCCAAAAGCAAATTTTGGCCAAATTTGTGGATTTGCCAACGCCATTCACACCACAGAAGATGATCGTATATGGACGTCCATTACGCTTCGATTCCAGTGCATCACGTATAATATCGATACGACGCTTGGGCGACAGAATCCGCACCAGTGACTGGGTCAGCGCCTCTTTGACCATGTTCGCAATGCTATCGAAGGTACCCATTTGCTTGCCTTCCAACGAGGTGGCCACCGAATCGCACAGCTTCGCGGCGATTTCAGAGGCCACATTTTTCGAGATTAGATGATCGCGCATCTTCTCCAGCGCCGGCTGCAAGTCGTTAAGCGTCATAGTCTTGGCACCCACAATGCCCTTGAAGTAGGATAGGAGGCCGCCGCCCTTGGCCTTTCGCTGATTGCGTTGCTGTTGCTGAGTCTGCCTCTGTTTCTGTTGCTTCTCCTCCAGTTCACTGTCTACGCTGGCCTCGCTGTCCGCTCCATCCGTATCGCTCTCCACATCCAGGTCCCTTATGCTACCCTGCATGGTGCCCACCAGCTGCAAAATATGCTCATAGTTTAGTCATACTGTTAGACAATGTGATCTCTCTCGTCAACCTACCTCATTGTTGATAGTCTGAAGCTGCACATCTTCGGGTGCATCCTTGGAGCGATCGAGCAGCACAGCATCCTTGGAATTGCCACCCAGATCCCAAACACGTGGCTTCTTGCCCGCCTTCTCCCGCTCCTTATCCACCGTGCTTTGCTTGGTGGGTCTCGCCTCCCCCGACACCTTCTTTGTGGGCGTCAATTTCTCGCGAAGTTTACGTCGATTTTCCTGTATTATATCATCAGTGGTGCGTGGCGGCGACGCTGGCTGGGATTTGCTTGTCGGCGGACTTTCCTGTATATTCACACGCTTCTCCGCTGTGTTGGTTGCCTTCTTCTCGTCCTGGATCATGGATGCCACGGTTTTCTTTGACTTCTGCGATTCGTTGTAAGAGCGCATCGCTTTAGGTGCTTTGCCCTGCTTGAGAGATGCCTCCTCGGCGGCGCTGAGCACCGTTCGGAACTCTTGCTCGAATTCATAGTCGATTGCCAGTCGCTCCTGTGCCGCAATTCCGGAGAATTTCTCCTGAAATGCACTTTGCATTTCTGCTAGAAAGCTGTCCAAATAGTTGAGCTTGATGACTTTTTGAAAGACGGCGGCATAAACCACATCGAGCTCATTGTCTAGCTTAAATTGTACGGCCAAATGATCCTCCTCAAAGTACTTGGACTCTGTATTGCGCTCCTATACACCAAACAAATTAGCAAACAAATTAGCATTAACAATAACAATAACAAACAGTTCGGTTGACTTACCTCTAGAATGACGCCACGTATTAAGCTGTTGATGCACGAGGCATAGTTCTTGCCGGATTCATTTGAATTCCAGAGCACAACGCCGCCTTTTGTGAATATGACCACAAAGTCTAACATTTTCTATTTACGTACTAATTGGTCAAAAATTGTTTTGTAAAGTAAACGCTAAAAAATTTAACTGGAACTAACTAGCTGCCAAAACACATTCCACGTCACGAGCCCGATATTTAAGTCGATAGTTATCGATATGTACATATATGCAAAGCAGTATGAAATGTAAAACGTCGAAATGTCACTTGGTTGCCGAACATAAAATACCCTGTAGACTTGATTTTACAAAATTGTATAGAAAACCCAGTACTTTTTATATACTTAGATAGTATATTTTTTTATTAAATTTTAAATGTATATCAAACATATGTTTCAATAATAGAAAAGTGATGTTTATGTAAAGCTGACCTATCCAACTTTCACCTAACAAAGTAAAAGACCTGTCGAAATCGCAGCTGATTGTATTAGGGATGAGACAAACTTTTAAAAATATCGCCCAAATTAGCATAAAACATTTAAAGAAAACAATATACTTATAGAATTTTAAGTACACTTGTAATACTTTGACCAAAGATGTCTAATCTCAGAAATGAAAAAAGATCATAATTTTTCGTGTATTTTTTTATTGACGCTTATTAACTAATGTTCATGGTTTGTGAATGGAATTTAGAACATTATTGCAATGGATTTCACATACATGAAAAATTTTGTTACAAAAAAGTGGACATTCGTTGAATGTAATTCTATACAGAAAAAAAAATTAACGTAAATATAATGTTTAAAAGCGAAAAAATATATGCTACGTAAAATGGATGATTATTATTGTTCATCTCCTTCTGGTGCTACTAGCCGGGTGCTCCCTCCTCTCCTCCAATCGCCTCTCGCTCATCACTCTCCGGACTCCAAGACTTACGAGCCAACAATAATGTTATTGATGGGAATGTGTATCAGCTTGACAAAGAATCCAATGAAGCCCATGATGCAGAAGCCAATAGCTGTAGCAATGGCGATCTTTTGGAACTCCTTGCGATCGGGCTTAGTGCAGCGTTTCACCAAACGAATGGAGTCTTTGGCAAAGGCACGGCCGGGCTCGGCAAATTTCACAACTTTATCCATGATAATGCTAGATGTGCGATACTTGGGAAGCTGCAAGTGTATTCAGAATTGATTACAATTATTAATATAAGACGCTACGATATATATCATGTAAAATGAATGTGGGCCAGCGCACTTTCACACAATAACAAAAAAAAAACCGATGACATCGTAAACGTCACGACGCCGACGACAAGGCTGACGACGTGGCAGCCGACGACGTTGGCGACGTCAGAGGTGAAATTTTTGTTGCTGTATGAAACCGCTATCGAACTCTGTTGCACGTGTCGCTGCATTTCCCAAATGGTTTTTCATTAATTTCCAAATAGTTTGTTCTCATTTTCTTTATAACTGTTCTTTTGATTGAAATCTGCCATTTCGGTAAGCAGCGCCACGCAGTGCAATGTTCTGTTACGCCAACACGGGTTTAAATAAATATCAATTTTAAATTAGATAGCCATTCACGCTTACACAATTCTTTTATATGTTTACTAAATAATCGAATTAAATGAATATCTCGTTGAAGTTAAAAAGGAAATATGTATTTTTGTTTGAAATTATCACACACCTCCGCTTACTTTGAAAATTTCCACACGAATGACGACTGTTCAACTAGTTCGTGAAGCCTGCTACGAACGAATTTGTTTTGACAGTTGTCCACGTCAAAATGTCAAACAAAAAAAACGTAGTGTTGCTTTGAGTTTAGTCGTTGCCAGATGCTTACAATAATATAGTGGCAGCGCTGCAGCATCCAATCAGCTGTTACAACCAAAAATTTTGTGGCCGACATTTTATTTTTCGTACGGCATTTTGCATTTTTGCGGCGATTTCGTACTAATATATATATTAGGACTTAAAATAATTGCAGCATTTTTATCATATACAATTCGATTGTTACCGCGATCTGAGTTGGTAAATAAGAGAAAGGATACGATTGGTGCGCGCTAATGTGTGTTATTTTTAATTTTAGCAGACCTAAAATTATTTTTAAAACTTGTGGTTCTATCAAATATTTTATTACTTGTTTTTAGACAAATAATTAACAAGGATGAGCGCACAGCCAAGCCCTTGCATGAATCCGCAGCAGCAGCAACAACAGCAGCCTACGGAACAAGAAAAGGTAACAACTTTCAACTTTATTAATTGTATGTATTAATACGTACATTCGGATTGTTTGTGTGTATGTATTGCGTATACATATATAAGTGTTGTGAATGCATGTATGTATATAATATTGTACGTGAATGAATGTGTGTTTGTATGCAAATTGAAGATTTGTATACGCATGTATATAAAAAATACATATGTATATATAAAATATGCATTATATATATATATATATATATATAATGCATATATATATATATATATATATATATATATATATATAAATTTTTTTTAATTTTTTTTTATTGTATTTAATAATAATTGTGAATTTATATTTTAGGTTTATCAATGGATCAACGAGCTGGCTCATCCGGATACCCGTGAAACGGCGCTGCTGGAGCTGAGCAAGAAACGTGAAACGGATTTGGCGCCGATGCTTTGGAATAGTTTTGGCACCGCTTGTGCTTTACTGCAGGAGATCATAAATATATATCCATCGATAGCGCCACCCACTCTAACAGCCCATCAATCGAATCGCGTTTGCAATGCATTGGCATTGCTGCAATGTGTCGCCTCGCATCCGGAGACGCGCACCGCCTTTCTGCAAGCCCAAATCCCACTTTATTTGTATCCATTTCTATCGACCACATCGAAAACGCGTCCATTCGAGTATCTGCGTTTGACGAGCTTAGGCGTAATTGGTGCTCTGGTCAAGACTGATGAACAGGAGGTGATTACATTTCTGTTAACCACCGAAATTGTGCCACTATGTCTCACCATCATGGACAGTGGCTCGGAGCTAAGTAAGACTGTGGCCACATTTATAATACAGAAAATTTTGCTGGACGAATCGGGATTGTCATACATCTGTCAGACCTATGAACGTTTCTCTCACGTAGCCATAACGCTGGTGAGTCCAACTCGATATATCCGTATATATGTATGTATACATATGCTATATATTTCTGTCTCTCTCTATCCTGTGCAGGGCAAGATGGTTATACAGCTGTCGAAGGAGCCCTGTGCGCGCCTTTTAAAGCATGTCGTACGCTGCTATTTGAGACTCTCTGACAATACACGGTTTGTCTGCACATTATCTATAACTCTATGATTATTGTAATTAATTTTCTCACATTGTTCAGCGCACGCAAAGCCTTGGGTCAGTGTCTGCCCGATCAGCTGCGAGACGGCACTTTTACTCAATGTTTGCAAGACGATAAGTCCACCAAACAATGGCTGCAAATGCTAATCAAGAATTTGGAACCAAACTCCGCACAGCCGCCAGGAGCTGATCCGCGACAGATTGGCATGTCGCCATTGGGCAGCTAAATCAGCCGCAGGAACAGCAAAACAGCAGCAGCCGGTCTCCCAATTTTGTTAGTTTACCAACCTTAATTTTGTTAGATTAAGAAAGAAAGTTTGTTGAATATGGATGCGGCCCATGCAGCTAAATTGCTTTAACTAAACCATATACATATATATACTATATAGATACACATGGATACAGCAGATCTATATATATATATATATATATATAATTGATACATTGTAAAGCTCCGCCAACAGCTAATTAGAACGTTTTCAAAACCAACAAATGAAAGTTAAACAATGATAAAGCTTTCAAATGCTATAGCTATCCATTGAATTCACAAGTCATTTAGCTATAGTTTAACTAACTAATTTATATATGTATATATATATTATATATATGTATATATTATTCATTGCTGCTAATAAACTGTTTAATTGTAAGAAAATGAGTTCGAAGTCTTTTTTTTTTGTGTTGCAACATTTAAAATGCGTTTATTTGACTTTTAGTGTGGGATTATCATATGTATGCACATATATACAAACAATATATATATTTATATATATATATATATCTTTCATATTAATTACAACATACAACAATTAAAGCAAATCGCTGCGAGCACAAAAATACATTACAAAAAACTTTTACATTTACATTCAAGTGCATTAAACTACAAATAGTTACATATAAATATATATATCATACATATATATATATAAACATTGATCACAACATAGAATTAATGATGGCAAAGATCAACCAATACACATACATACATATATATAGATTCAATACGAGGGTAGTCCGAAGAAATTGTCATAATTATAGCTGATTTTGTTCGATTATTTTGACCACCCGCGTATCTATATCAATATATATATATGTATGTATGTTTACACATACATATATATGGATTATTTGTTGTATACATGTATGTATTGTTTATGCCAAAGAAATGTTTACTGTTCCGGCGGAGCAGGAGGAGCAGCTGGTGCTGCAGCTGATGCACGTCTGCCGATCTCAGTTTCCAATGGATGAGATTCAATTGACTGTCCTTGAAGCTGGGGCAATGCGCACATCTGCTCGAGCAGATCGAAACCATTTCGCCAGATGAGCAACTGGGCTCGCAACTTCAATTTGTTGCGATTTTTAATCAAATGTCTCTCCATGGCAAAGCCCTGGCGGGCGCAGGCAAAGTCGCAGGCGCGCTGCCTCAAAACAGGACAAATATCGTTGTTGCCGTCGCCGACGTAAAATACATGATCGTATCGTATATTAAAACGCAGATCCTGCTCAATTACAAAATGCTCCAAAACACGGCCCTTGCACAAATTGCTGGCGCTCAACTTGCAATCCGTTTGCTGATGATGCGGACGTACTTGAAGCTGGCCGTGCTCATCAAAATGAGCGGGATTTGTAAAGATGGCCTTGAAGCAATCAGACAAATTGTGGGCGCGCAGCCACTCATCAATGAAAACACTATTTGAATCGCTAATGATGATCAAATCGAAGTTGAGACGCTTCTGCAAGTGCTTTATCAGACGCACAAATCCAGGTACCTCCGGTATACAGCGTATAACGTCACGAATGCGCGACTCCTGGACTTGTTGCGCATGCAACAAACGAAATATCTCAGCCATATACTCTGTCCAGCATTCGCTTTCCATTAGATCGGTGAGTGCTTTTGAGCTTATCAATTCATTGGGTAGCATATCGCGCACCACTGTGTCCGTATTCTGGGATACAATTGTATGATCAAAATCGAAGGCAGCCAAACGACGACGCTGCTGCTTGCCCAGTCCGCAAGACGCTGCTGAGACAGTTGATACTGCTGCTGCTCCTGTAGACATGTTGACTGGCTTTTGCATATGAATATGCAGTAGATGCCTCTTAAATGGGATTTTTAGAGCCCACTGGTGGGCAGCACCAGCAGCTTGACTTTTGCTTCTGCTTTCGCTGTATGTATGTATTTCGGATTTAGCTTTGGGCAACTTTGACAGTAGCTTTATTAGCGTTGGCGTTGCCATCCGATTGGAAGCTTCTGGCATGGCCACCTTTAAGCGGTGGCGGCGATGGTGTGAAGCGCCCCTTGTTCGATGTTTGAATTCAATTGCAATTTTATCGATAAGCATTTAGCTTTAGCATTTTTTATAATTCGATTAAAAAATTTCGAAAGCCCTGAACTGTTTTTTATCAAATAAAAATTATAAAAAATAGAGATATAGATGGCATCACAATATAATATTTTCAATATCTCATTGCTTCTAAATGATGATCGAATTAACCAGATAACAATTCAATGTCAGTATTTTTACTTTTCCTTCAACGGAATATTGACCTTACTTAAGTATGTATAAGCTTTTTTCAAGATTTTTATTCAGATTTCACATCAATTTTAAATATGCAGTACAAAAATTTAAAGTATCGCCAGGATATAATTCCTAGCATTGAAATATCGATGTATCGATACACGGTTAGCAACCCTAAATCTTCATTTCCATTTTGTCGTGACGAGTACGGTAGTGTTATATTCCAAGCGAAAAAGAAAAAACACTGTCAGACAGCGAGCAGAGCATACATTTAATAATGAATTGTTAAAACGATAGGTGCGCGCCGAATTAAAATTGCGTATGTTCGTATGATCAGTTGAAACAGTTAACAATAAACGCTATTTTTTTTATAACAAATTTATGCGTCGTCGTCTGCTGCTGTTCAATCGTTAAAAAGTGCGTGGAAAAGTGTACGAAACCAATACACGGAAAGTGGGACAACCGAGCGCTGCGCTTGTTGGTGTAGTGTGCTGTGCGTGTGTGCTATATGTGTGTGTAGTGTGTAGTGTGTATGGTTGTGTGCGGTGTGTGCTGTGTGTTTGTGTGCGAGACGAGTACAAGTACGGGTAATTTGTACCGACTACAGTCTCATCAATGTGTACGACAATGTTTTTTTTGTATATTAAATAAATATAACGAAAAAGTGCAACGAAATGTTTACAAATTGTGCAAATAAAAACAAAACATGTTCCATGTCTTAACACACATCGACAAAGACACGCGCACACCAATATACACGCGAATTGCATGCAAAGAGAAGGCGCTCAACTTCTACTCCATCTTCTTTTGTCTGACGTTTTGCCGCATGGTGAGTTTATTGCCTGCCTGCCAGCCAGCCAGGCTGCCTGCTGTTGTTGTTGGATCGGTTTTCGGCGTCTTTTACTATGTAGCAGAGTTTTTTATGTGTTTTTGCTCTCTCTCTCTATCTTTTTCACTCTTTTCTTGCTAGTTTTATTTCATTTTGGGCTTTTTTTTTTGCATTGCCTTAGGCGCGTTGCGCTCGGATTTGTTGTTGCCTCTGACGCTGTTCATTTTTGTTGTTGCATAGGCGCCGTTGTCGTCAGTTGCGCGGGGGTCAATGATGTAGATGCATGTATAAAAGTACATGTGTGTGTGTGTGTGTGTGTGTGTATTTGTGCATGTGTGTCTGTACATTGTGCACGAGTATGTATGTATTTTCTCCATGCAGCGGCACGGGCGATTGCCTCTCATGTTGGTATCGGTTCGGATGTGTGTGTGTACCGTGCTGTGGTGAATTTCTGTCTCGGGCCCTGGTGAATTTAGCAGTGTTGCCAACACATACACCACGTCGTAGCCGCTGCCAGTTGTTGTTGTAGTAGTGCGTACCAATGTGGCGCGGTTTTCTCAATTTCTGCTGCTCGCGACAGACAGCTGTGTGCCGCGCATGTTTCCACGCTTACGCAGCGTATTATTAACAACGTTAGTGTTATTTTTGCTGTCGATGTTGTTGTTGTTTTTTCAGCGTCTCATTACGTTACTGTTTACGCGGCATTTTCAAGAACAAATTTCATGCACTAAAATATTTCCATCGATAATTTTTCCCTCTCTTGGTGTTATTTCTATAAATAACAAACAATAAGCAAATTGCGTTTATTTTTTTTTCTCCTATGTTTGGTTACCGGCGACTTTCTGTGTGTGTGATACTTAAGTTACTGTTACTTGACGTGAATAGCGAGATTGCAAGAGTAAAATGAAAACAAAACAATACATATACACACTCTCGCATGTGTGTGCGTATTAGTACATATAATTGCCGCTAGTTGATGTAAATTGTATATTTAATAGCCAATCACAGAGGCGGTACTTTGAAGTAACGGTGCAATGCACAGACATGCATACACACTTAAAACTTTAAGAGAGAGCAGAAAAGAGGAGTGAAAGTAAGTGATATAGTTTCGATATACGCATTATTTATTAATTACAATTACGTAAATAATAGCATATAATTAAAAAAAAAAAAAAAACTGATCGAAAAATCTCTGTCAAATATCAACAAATTTAGTGCTGTGCTGTTGTTGCGTACTGCGTGTTGTTGCCTATATATGAGTGTGTGTGTTTGTTCGCATGCATGTGTTTATCTTTCAGCCTATGCGAGAGCGTGCAGCTGAGTTCGTTCTCCTTTTCTGTTGCAAAAATGCGCTTACTATTAATACTGTGATTCTTATTACTACTACTATGCTATTACTTCCCCATATTCTGTAACCATACACCTCTTTTAATGGAATGCGCTGAATGTGAGACGCACGCATAGACATACATACATCATCATCATGACGACGACACATACATATGCAGACAACTTGCAGCTAAAGGCACCTAATATTTGCTGGCTGCGGCTGGAGCTATTGATATCGGATATTTGTTTACTTTTCATTGATGCTTTCATAGCTATCTAAATTTCTGTCCTCCATATCCCTATTGCTATTGCTCTGACTATCATCAACCTTGTCATCGCTATCTGGAACAATATCATCATCAGAATCGTCTTCGTAATCATCATCGCTTTCATCCTGATCCATACGCAACATTTTCTCCAACTGTAATCGTGTAAATCGAAATATCGGCTCTGGCCTATGCAGCTGATGACATCCCCAATAGAATGTCGCTTCCGTCCCGTCACCCAACACGCCATCTGTATGGATCATCAACTGACCATCGATTGTTTCCTCATTCTGATCCGTCTGGTTGGCAGTATCCTCAGTTTGGCTGGATGTGCCAGTATCCGCCGTGGTCGTTGTTGTTGTAATTGTTGTTGTTGTCGTGGTCGTCGTTATTGTCGTTTCCGTATCCATATCCGTATCCGTATCCCTTTCGTTCCATGCAATGCAGCACACGCTATATGGCTGCTTGTGCTGTTGTCTTTTCGTTGGCTTCACATCCTTCAGCTCACGGTAGATGACACAAAACAGCAGCCAAGCGCCAGCTAATGCCATCATAAAATGTTCCACAAATCCAAAGCGACATTTACCGGCAGCGACTGGCATCAATATTAGATTAGTGCCCGGAATCCGACCACCAGTTGCCAATGCACGGAATAGGCCCAATTGGTCTTTAACTGGTTGCCAAAGTGGTGCGAATATCGACTGCAGCAACATCAAAATAAAATTTTCTGCAAACCAAAAAGTCTCTCAAAAAAACAAATAAGGATTTAAAAACAAAAATAATATATATGTATATACATATATATTTTATTTTTTAGTTTTTTTTTTTTTTTTCTTTATACCTGAAACACTAATTTTGATCTAATGGCTACGTCCAGAGTCTGAATTTGATTTAATTTATTCGGTACACTTTAGATCTAAATATAAATAAATAAAAATTGAAAATAACGGAACAATTTTTCAAAGGCTAATCAGATTCAAATAAAGTTGATTGTTTTCATCGATATTTTTCAGTAGATATTTACATATGTTTTTTATTTAGTAATAATACATTTGCTGAATAGCTAAACAATCTTCTTTATTGTCTCTCTCCCTCTCTCTTGTCTGTCTCTCTTTTGGTTGCAGGAACTCGTGCAATTCGTGTTTAGTTTCATTTCCCATCTTTAGTCGATAGTCAGTTGCATTGCACATCTCTATCGTTGGTGCAGTTTATATTGTTGTGATTAGTTTTGTTCGGATATCCGCAACCCGATCAGAAATTGTTGTAAAGAATATCAAGCAAAAGTTAGTGACAAAAATAAATAAATAATAATGAAATATAAAATATTCGTCTGCAAAAATCCAAACTGTGATAGAAATAGAGTATCATGCAATATTTAGAATCGACTAATTGTTGTAAATGTGCAAAAGTATTGATAAATTTAGCGCCCAGCAGAAAACTGATTGAACGCATCTCTTATATTATAATATTTATTCATAAGGCTTCAATTTGCTTCATACTAAAGTTTGAATTTTAATAAAATTTCTTTTTAGGCAAAAGGCAATTGCTTTTGGTGCGGATAAAGGAATAAAGCAATGAATGATTTACGCCAGCAACAGGTACAGGTAGCAGCAACATCATCTTCAGTTAGCCTGGCAGCAACACCCCTCTGCTCCAGCAACAGCTCCACGAGCAGCAGCAGCATCAGCAACATTAACAGCGCCAGCTCCAGCTCCAGTGCCAGCGTCAGTCCACGTTCCAGTTCAAATTCGAATTCTAGTGTTGGTTCGACAAACTGCAAGTCCGCCATAACGACGACAGCAGCAGCCACAACAACAACGAGCAACAGTAGCAGCAGCAGCATCATCATCATCCAGCAACAGCAGCAACAGTCGGAGGAAGAGGAGCAGCAGGTAGTTAGCTCTACATCGTCGCAGCAACACCAACAACAATTGAATGTGTCGACAGCAGCAGCAGCAACGCAGCGCCAACAACAGCAGCAACATCATCATCATCAGCAGCAGCAACACCTGCAGCAGCAACAACAGCAACACCTGCAGCAGCAGCAGCAATCGCTGCAGGAACAGCATCAGTTGGTGGGTCAAATAACCAGCACCACAGCATCGCCGCCGCAGCACAGACTGCGCGACGATGCGCAGCTGCCATATAGCCCCAGCAGCAGCAGCAACAACAGCAGTGGACCAACGGCAACAGCAGCCGCAGCAGCAGCAGCAACAACAACAACAATGGCCGCCACAGCTTTAGATGTGAATGGCGAGGAGAATAACAGCAGCAGCAACAACAAGAGCAGCAGCGGCGGCGGCGGCGGTGGCAGCAGTCACAAGCTAATACTTAAGCTCTCCAAGCACGGCAGCAGCAGCACAAGCGAATCTCAGGCGGGCAACGATGAGCGACGCGTCGAGCCGCTGCGCATACAATTGCCCACACAGTTGCCAACAACAACAGCCACAACTGCTGCAGCCGCAGCAGCAACAACAGCAACGAATGCAATGGGACAGCAGGGCACTGTGCCTAAGCTAACAATTAGGCCAATCAAAGCACAAGATAATATGTCCAACAATTCAGATGCATCCTCGTCCTGCTCCTCCTCCTCGTGCGCCGACGAGGAGCAGCTGCCCCACATCGTGCCCAAGCTAACAATACGAGCCGCCAACGAGGAACGGGACAGTAGCGTGGTGCCGAAGCTCATTATTAAGATGCCCGATGCATCAGTTGCTGCTGCTGCTGCCGCTGCCGCTGCCGCCGCCGCTGTGGAGTCCAGCAATTGTCACAGCCCGCTGAAGTCGGTGAATGCAATTGCAGCAGCAGCGGCTGCCGTTGCTGCTGCTGCCGGCGGCGGTGCACTGCCCAAGCTAACCATCAAGACCACCAAATTGGAGGGCAATGGCGGCAGCGAAACGCAGCTCATCAGCTGCAGTCTGTCCCCGGCGTCTGCGTCCAGCTCATCTGCCAGCTCCTTTTCCTCGGCCAGCGAGCAACTGCAGCATCAGCAGCAGCAGCAGCCCACAGTGCCTAAGCTGATGATCAAGACAACGCATGCGGGCAGCAGCTGCATTAGCAGCGAGGAGCAGCAACAGCATCCTCACCCGCACGCGCACCCGCAGCAGCAGCAACAACAACAACAACAAATACCAAAGCTAACCATCAAAACGGGCAACCAGGAGCAACTGCTGTTGCAGCAACAGCAGCAACAACAACAGTTGCCGCAGCACACGGTGATCATGACGCATGACGCAAAGAATGCGCAGTCCATACCCAAGCTAACTATCAAGACCAAGTCCATTGAGCTCGACGATGATGAACAACAGCAGCAACAGCAACAGTTGGTGCCCAAGCTCACCATTAAGACGGGCAACAGCAGCAACGAACAGCAGCAGCAACAGCAACAGCCTCTGCTTAAGCTGACCATCAAGAATCTTTGCTCGCCCAAGCACAAGGTGCGCGCTGTGCTCGAAGAGAAGGTGCTAACTTCCAAGCTAACGCTCACCAATGGCGGCGACAGCAACACAACAGCTGCAGCAGCAGCAACTGTTGCTGATGCCGAAACGGATGAGCTGCGTCGCAATTCTGACGATATGGACATTGATGATGCGTTGTCCAAGGAGCATGATCCAAAAATGTTTCACAATTTGCCACCAGCGCACAGCAGCAATGGCATTGTGCCGCAGCAACAGCAACAGCAATTGCAACTAACGAAACAGCAACATCAATTGCAACTAACAAAACAGCAACAACAACATAATATTGTGGATATGGTTGATTTGACTTCATCGCCTTCGCCGGGTTCCTCGCCGGCGCATGTCAACAACAGCAGCAGCAGCATCAGCATCGGCAGCAACAACAGCAGCAGCAGCAGCACTACTCAGGGCAACAGCTATGCGACAGCAACAGCTGTTAGCAGACCACAGAATCGCCTGCTGCTCGAGTGCTTGCAGATGCAGGAAGCAATCACCGCCCCCAACAATAGCAGCAGCAGCAACAACAACAACAAGAGCAGCGGCACCAGCAATCCCGCCTCACCCAACTCCAATATATTGCTCAGCCAGCTAACAGCGCCGCCGAAGAGCTTCAGCAACAGCAGCAGCAGCGGCAACAATTCAACATCTGCTGCAAAATATCCACAGCTAACGGAACGTTTAATGGCAAATGGAGCAGCAGTAACAACAACAACAACAACAGCAGCAGCAGCAGCAAGTGCTGCTGCAGCAGCAACTATTGCTCGCGGAGCAGAGCCGATAATCGATTCGATTGAGATATTGGACACGCCCGAGGGCAGCCCACATCCGCAATTGACGCCCTCCTATATGCAAAGTGCCTACGAGACGGAGCAGACGCCGCCATCACCAACGCCACCGCCACAGCATCAGCAGCAGCAGCAACTAAGCAATCATCTAAACCATTTGAATCTAAATCTTAATCTGAATCCAAATCATAAGCCAGACAATCAACAGCAACAGCAGCAGCAGCAACTCAACAACAATGAGAATCATTTGAAGCGACAGCAACAGCATCAGCAACACCTACAGACAGATGCAGAATCTCCCAGTGGCGTAAGTGAACTATAATAGAAAATTAATAATATCTGTGTGTGTGTGTGTGGGGGGCTGCGTGTAATATTTGGTAGGCAACATTTGAGATTCCATAGACATATTGATGAATGAGGCTGCAGACCAGAGCATTTTTGACCCATTTACCGACTTATCGATAAATGCGAATATTGTTATCGATATAATCAAATCGAAGATTCGAAAATTATATATGAATTATCAATTTATGCAAATTGTCTTTAGCAGTATTCCGCCAACATCGATAATATATCGATTTAGTTTTATCTCAAATAAAAATACAAATAATTTAATTCGATTTTTTACAGAATTGATATCTGTAACATTTGCTCAATGTCGATAAGTATCGACTTATTTTGAATAAAATACTGATTTTCAGATATTTAATGTCTAGATTACACATGGCTCATGAACTGAACCACTCATGAACTGGTTCATAAATTTCGAAATAATTTGAGTAATCGATTTCTTATCGTTTATTTTTGTGACTTTTAGTTGCCGCCGAATAAACAGCGGCGCCTGGACAATAATGAAAATGATCAACAGACGCACAACTGCAGCAATGACACAGCAGCAACAGTTGCTGTCAGTCCAATAGCAGTAGCGCCAACGACAGCAGCAACAACAACAACAACACCCGAGCATCAGCAGCAGCAACAGCCAACGCATCGCAGTCGCAAGCAGAAGCACGAACGCATACTAAATACGGAGCTTGAGGAGCCGCAGCAACAGTTGCCGCTGCCAGGGACACCAACAGTGAGCGACCACGCCCACAGCAATGGCAGTCTGCAGCTGGCGCAGGAATTCCTTGGGGCGGCTGCGGCCTGTTGCAAGCAGCTATCGTCACCACTGCCCACGCCTGGCGGCACTGGCAAGCGGCGCGGCAGACCCAAGCGCAATGCCAACGAATTGACGCCAGCGAAAGCAGCCGCCGCAGCTGAGCTGATGGAGTCCAGCAGCAAGTCGCGGCGCGTGCAGCTGCTGCACAAGCGACTGGCCATCGATATGGTAGCTTCGGAGCTGAATCATAGCTTGAAGGTGCAGCAGCAGCTGTTGCATGAGATGAAGGAATTTGATGCCACGCAGCAGGAGCAGCAACAACAGGAACAGCAGCAACGCCTGTCAGCAATTGAAACGCCGGGACGTTGCATAAAGCAGCGACTGTTACGTGCCACACGACGCAGTACAGCAGCAGCTGCAACAGCAACTGGAACTGGAGCAGGAACGGGAACGGGAAATGTTGGAACTCCAGCAAAGGCAACGCGCAAGCGTCAAAGCAAAGCCGCAGTGGCTGCTGCAGCAGCAGCAGCAGCAGCTGTAGCGGCGGCGGCTGAAGCAGCAGCAACAGCAACAACAGCTGCAGCAGCAACAGAATATCCAGTTGGGCTGATGCCACGCCTCGACCGAGAAACGGAGCTGAGCAACGACAGCAACAGCAAGAGCAACAACAATAGCATGGCCTATGCTCTGGCGGCTCAGATTGATCTAACCATGTGCTCGTCCTCCTCGTCCACTAGCAATGGCAGCGCAATGGCGACAACAACAACCACAACGGCAGCAGCAGCAACTATTGCCGCCGGCACAGCTGTGAATAGTAGCAACAGCAATAGCGGCGGTGGCAGCAACAACTGCTCCATGTTGCCGCCAACAACCATATTATCCTCATCCGATCCGCTGCCGGATGTGATCTTTCAGCCCAACGACTTTTCCTCAATAACTGCCACGCAGCAGCTGCGCAACAACAACAATAACAACAACAACAGCAACACGAACAGCATCAGCGGTGGCAGCCAACATGAATCGCACGATGAGGACAACTACAGCGCATTGGATAACTCTGGAGGTAAGGGAGCTCTCATGTGCCCCAACTGCATCGCTCTTTAATCATAACTTTCTCTCGCTCTTTCTCTCCCCAGATGAGTCTTCCGCATTGTGCAATCCTTTGAGCGCCTTCGGCACCAATCCAGCAGCAGCAGTGCCAGCAGCGCCATCGACACCAACGCGCGGCCGCGGACGTGGACGCGGCAGAGGCGCCGGCGGCGGCTCAGCACGCAGCAACAGTGGCGGCAACTCGGCCAATCGAAATAATGCGAACAACGCGCAGCCGCGAGTCCCGCGCATGAGTCGCGGCGCCAGCGCCGTTGCCAAAGCCATTGCCCTCAGTCGGCCGCGCTGCGTGGGTGGACTTAAGCATCAGCCGGATCCGGAACGACTCAAGGGCTTCTTTAGTCCGGTAAGTGTAAGGGGAAATGCTGGATGGACATGTTTTGTGGGCCATTTTTAGATAGCTGGGGACATTATTAAGGCCCAAATTCGACTAAATAATATTGGGAAATATGAATTGGGAAATTTATTATTAATGCCCAAGTTGGAAAAATCTTTGGAATATGTATTATTTTAAGGGTATTGTGAATTCATCGTATGCCATACAGTTGGCTTGATATGATTCATTCAAAGGATGCCGCGTTGTCTCTTTCTGTGTCTATGTGTGGGCGTGTGTACATTTATGAATATATTCATATTTAATATACATATATTTCTATAATTTGCTTTTACTCTTCTTTATACTATATATATATTGCATTTCACTGCAACTTGTTTATGTTTTATTACGTAAAGCGTACTCACACATCAATAGACAAGACTATGCACACCCACATACACTCATATATATATTTATATATATACATATGTATTTATACTCGGACACACACACACAAACAGTGTTCTATGTCGTAATTAAAATCAAAGGCGCGCGCGCGCTGTATTCATTGCCAACTACTACCAAAAATGCATACGATTGCAACAATAACAATAGTAACTACAACAACAACACCACCAACAAGAGCAGCACGCGACCGAAGTTAGCAGCGATGCAACAGCAGCTCGTTGTTCGTCTCTTCACCTGTGATTTTAATCAGCTGCAAATTGTTGTTATTTTTCTCTCTCTTTTGGTTTTTTATTCGCTCTTGCTTTCGATTGGTGTAGCAATGCTTTGGGCCGAGCGGCAAGTGAGGCAAACTTCACCACACCTGCTGCGTCGCGAAGAGGGCAAGAGCGAGAGATAGAGAAAGAGAGTGAGAGCAAGCTTAGCATGTGCGCTTCCCCATGCAGACCGTTTGGTTTCATTTTTTTGTTATATTTTTCTGTATGCTGGCAACGCTGTTACACAAACACACATACAGCATAGCGCAGCGCAGCGCTCTCTTGTGTTGCTCTCTCGCGTTGGCGCTGCCGCTGGCGCTGCCGGCAGCGCAACAAACAAAATAAATTTAAAAAATAAAATAGAAAACAAAAAATTTAAAAATAAATAAAATTAAATAAATTAAATAAAAACAAAACAAAAATTAAAATAAATAGAATTTAAAAAAATTGTTAATTTAATTTAATTTAAAGAAAAAATGACGCTTCTTAGGGTTAATCGTTGTTGTTGGGCTTGTTTTATGTTTTTGCAGTCGCCACAGGTCTTTGAAGAGGACACACGCATGAGTGCTGATCTAAATAACAGTAATCAATCGGTAACGAGCATGGAGCCTCCACTGACGCCACAAAAGTAAGTTTCCCCCTTGAAAGTGTGATTCTCCCGTTGCTCATTAACTAATTTACTAATCGTGCTGCAGACAACCGGACTTCCTTAACAACGAGGAGTCGCAATCGTCCATGCTGAGCAACGTTAGCCTAATGGACTCCAACCAGGGCCAATCGGTGGATGCGATAATCGGCTCGGCGCTTAAGCGACCCAAGAAGAAGAAGATGGAAATTTGTGTGGCTGAAGAGTAAGTCAACTGAAATTTGAATTCGCAACTCGAAAGTATTCATTCTCATTCAAATTCCTTCTCTGCGCCTCTCTTGCAGCACGGAATTCAGTGCGTCAAGCATTGCGGAATATGATTGGCCCCCACCCAAGGGCTGTTGCCCGTCCAAGAATCGTGATACGTTCATGATCCAGGAGCAGGTCGCTCTCTATTTGGGCATCACGAGCTTTAAGCGTAAATATCCGGATTTGCCGCGACGCGCTGTCGATATGGAGGAGCGCAATTGGCTGCAGGAGAAGGGTCTCGTCAGCGAGAAGATGTGCGATCTCGGCATTACAGCCGTCTGGGCATCCGATATACTGGACATAATGTATGCCGATTTCTATGACAAGTACGAGGAGTACAAAGAGTATATTAGGCAAAAGCATCTGCGCGAAATCGAGGCCAAACAGAAGGCGCTTGGCCTCACCGTTGGCACTGGGCGTGGCCTGCAGGCACGCGATCGCGCAATGCTCTCGGCCAGCAAATGGAATGTGTACTTTAATAAAACGTAAGTGCGGATACTTTTTGTTGCACGCAACTTGAGTGAATTTCAACTACTTTGTTTTTGTTGCAGGCGGAAAGAGGAACGTGTCGCCTGTTTGGATCTGCAAACGTTCACCATGAATTTTCCCGTGCAGCACTCAGCAGCCAGCTCCACTGCGTTGCATCGATCTATTACGGACACAGTGCTTGCCGCAGCGCAGGCAGAGAATATGCCAACGCCGCCGCAACTGCTCGGTCCGCGTGCCTACGATGAAGCGTTCCAGCAGCCCGATCATGCCTATCCACTGGCCCTGGTGCCAGGCCAATTTTCGTCCAGCTATAGAAAACTAACGCCCGCGGAACTAAGGTAAGAATAAGGGGAATTTTCGATTTATGTTTTTTTTTTGAGAAATTTTAGGTGAATATTTTTTTAATTTAACAAGAGAATATATCTGAATAAATATATAGGCTATACAAATTTAGTTTAAATAAATGCAAATCAGAAACTAATTAACTTTTCCTTTTCTGTGCAGAGCTTATCCCCTGAATACTGTCCTGGAGTTGCCGCAACAGCAGCGAGACGAGCAGGAGCAGGATGAGCAACAGCTGCTGCAGGACAGTGTGAAAGCGTCGCAAGGCAGGTTACAGACAGCAGCGGTGCGGCGCAGTCAGCGTTCGCGTCAGCAGCGCAGCAATGATCCGGCCAAACCCAGCAGCCTCTGCTATGCCAGCGCAAGCAGCAGCAGCAGCAGCAGCGGTTCCAGTAGTAGCGAATCTGTAAGTAAACTGGCAAACATACAAATTGTTGTAGCTATAACTAATGCACATTTGAATTGTTTTACAAACAAACAGGACAGCGAAGCGGACAGCGACAGCAGCTGCAGCAGCGCCAGCAGTTACAGCAGCCGCTGCAGCAGTTGCAGCAGTGACAACAGCTCCATAAACACCGCCAGCGAAACTGAGATGATAAAGCAGCGCGAGAAGGATGCACGATTGTCATCGCACAACTGCGGCGTCTGCCAGCGCAGTCAGCATCGGAATGCACGAAATAGGCCCGAGGCATTTATACGCTGCTACAGCTGTCGCCGTAAAGGTAAGATGGTTAGAAATATTGGAGAGTGAATTCAATCTGATCGAACTTTTGCCATTCATCAACATCATCAGTGCATCCTAGCTGCATTGAGATGCCGCAGCGTATGGTCGGACGTGTGCGCAACTACAATTGGCAATGCGCCGAATGCAAGTGCTGCATCAAATGCCGCAGCAGCCAACAGCCCGGGAAGATGCTCTACTGTGAGCAGTGCGATCGTGGCTATCACATTTACTGCCTGGGTATTAAGACGGTGCCCGAGGGTAAGTTTGGAATTTTTAATGTATGAAGTGTATTAATACTAATTTGTCTATCAATTCTACTTTAGGTCGCTGGAGCTGTGAACGCTGTTCGATTTGTATGCGCTGTGGCGCCACACGGCCCGAGGGACTGCCTCAAGTGCAGCAGCCCGATTTGTTGTCACCCAGTGGCAATGGCAGCCAAGCAAAGCCCGCCGTGAAGCACAAAAAGGTTAAATGGCAGAACGAGTATCGCATCGATCACATCACCAATTTGCGCGAACATTGCGGCATGCTTTGCGTGCCCTGCGCACGCGCCAAGCCCACCAAAAGGATAACGACGCCCAACAGCAGCAGCAGCAGCAGCAGCAGCAGCAATTGTGAACAGTTGCAGCTGCAATTGCAGTCGAATGGTGGCGCTGCAACAATGGAGGCAGCCGCTGCAGCGCTGAGCCCCAGCAATAGCAGCAGCAGCAGTAGCAACAACAACAATAATAATAATAATAATTTTAGTAATAGCAACCAGCTGGAGGCTAATGCTGCTGGTAGGCAACGACTGCCAGCGCAGCAACAGTTGTTGCTGCATAGAAGCCACGATATGGCGACAATGCATAGCAGCAGCAATGAGGAAGCAACAGCAGCAACAATTATAACAACAACGCCCGCCAGCAACAGCAACAACAACTCCAACTCAGTGGCAGCAGCAGCAACAACAGCAACAGCTACAACTACAGCATCAACACAAGCAGCAGCAGCAGTCACGACAACAGCAACAACAATTGGCATAGCTCCACCTCCGGTTGTTGCCTGAGTGGGGGTCATACGTTATTGTGCCAAGCGCACTTTAACGGACTTGTAGTAAAGCGCGGGTCGCAGCAGACCACTCGACCCACCCACCTCCGCCACCGTCGCCAGCAACTCCATATCCACCAAACCCTTCCTAATCCAGCTCCTCCCACCACACACACCCCCACACACACGTGCATAGTATTAAACAACAAATAATAAGCTAATTTTTGTACATGTCTGCGGGCGTATGTTTATATTACACAATATATATATAAATTAATTAATTTTTTTTTTTTTGTTTTATTTTTAATTGTTTTTATATATTCATAAATATAAGTTGATTTAAATATGCCCACAATTATGTTACTTAAGCGAAAAGTGAAGAAATATTGTTATGTACACACATATATATACACACATACATTTACATACATACATACACACACACACACACACATGACAAGAAAAATGATCAAGAACAATTGTATGTTTATGCCTAAGTTGAGTTTTGTTTAAATTAGCCAATAAGTCAAAATACACACACACACCACTACCAATCCAATACGCCTACTGCACATATTAATTAGCTGCATTTTAGTTAATTGTATTTTATTATTAATTTTAAAATTCGTTTGCCACAATTTTGAACCACTGTGCAGCGATCATTTATTTTCCAACACTGCTTGCAACGTATTTACCGTTGCAAATACTTTTATGTTAACGTCTCTCTCTCGCTCTCACTTTCTCTGTTCCTCATTCATCACACACACATAGCAGCCTTTACCGTTAGGACAACGGATAATGTGTATTTTTTTTTTTTTTTTTAATAATTTGTTTTGTGAAATATGCAAAAATATATATTTATATATATATATTGCATCTATCATAGCAAAAACAACAAAAGGAAAACAACAATTATGTCTCTATGAACGTCGTTAGCCTAAAAAACTTGTACTATACAACTAAATAAGCTAAAAATTAAAATTAAAATAAATGAAAAAAACAATAACAAATATGTAATAAATGAATTGGGCCGAAACTTCATTTTTTTATTGGTTTGTTTAAATTTTGTATGTACGTAATTCTAAAATACTATTTTTGTCTAAACTGTAAGTTAGCCATGTAAATTAGTTAAGCGCAGAATACATACGCATATGTATGCATATGTGAGTGCGTGTATACATATGCAGCTGTGTATGTGTGTACATATAAGTAGTGTCTTCTTACATATGCACATATATATTAAACTTTTTTTTGTTTAACAACAACAACAATTTACTATTTAATTAGGCTTAAGATTGTATTATACATGTAATTTATGCTAACGTGCACCCACACATACATACACACACACACAAACAAAATACCCGTATATTTAATGAAATGAAAAAAGTTAAGCACAAGCAACAACAAAATGAATTATTATTTAAGTAACTGTAAAAGAGGAATTTAAGCGACCACAAATGAAAAACAAAACGTGGTGGCAACGCTAACAGGCAAATATTTAAAACCTAACGTTAGCGTATCGCTGTGTTACGTAGCGTAACGTAACGTAACGCATTGCAAATTGCAATTTCGTCTACTTAAAAACGAACCGAAAGAAAGTTTGATCAAAATCCAATTTTCCATTGAATTTTATGCAATAAGTCCCTAATAAGTGAATTACTATACAAATACATAGTTATACACTTACAAGCATATATATATATATATATACAAATAATATATATCTATATATATATATACATGTATGCATACAAAACATATTATAAGTCGAATAAAACAGCAGCATTAATAATTTTGCCTTACCAACAAGAATTTCTCTCCATTTACCAATGCAAATGCCGGTGCTTGGCCAGCTGGTGCTCCAGGTCATGGCCATCCCACCAATGAATCACCTGGCAGTTGAGCTCTTTGCGATACGCCGGAAGCTTCGCATGCAGCTCCTCGCCGCACCGTATGCACGCAGTATCCGCCATACTCAAACGACGTATAGCACACAGATCGTTGCAACTGTCGCCGACGTAAATTAAGCTACCGTATGGCTTGTCGCCATTGCTCTGAGACCCAATGAGCATGTCCATGACGCCACCTTTACATAGGTTCTCCGGACAGTAGTCGCAGTGCGTTTGGTGCTCGTATGGCACCACGACTAGATGCTGACTCTCGGGCATCACGCAGGCCGGGTTTGTATAGATGCCTGCTCGGAAGCTGCACTCCAAGCCGTGCGCTGCTAGCCACTCCTTGATGAAGAAGCTATTCGCATCGCTCAAGATGCACAGATCTACGGTCTCACATTGTTCCAGACGACGCAGCAGATGCAAGATTCCTGGCATCGGCTTCAATTTCCGTATAGATTGAGCTATTTGTACAGACGACAAATGCTGCTCCCTCTGCAGCAGCCGGAGCAAATGTTCTAAATACTCTAGCCATCGGCTGCCGTCGATTAGCGTCTGAAGGTGCTCCGTGTGCTGGTGCTGGGGCGACAGCAGGCGAAAAAGCGCCACATACGAGTCCTCCTCAATGATCGTCTTGTCGAAGTCAAAGGTGACCAGCACACGATCTTTGCGCTGGTTACCAAAGCGCCGCCAGAGACTAGGCAAACGTGCTAGAGACCCAAATAGCATATTTGTGTATATATCTATTGAAATTTCACATCTGTTAAACAAAATAAATAGTTAAAATAAAATAAATGAGCAGATGAAAGCAAAGCTAAAGGCAAACAACACAACTGAATTTAGAAGAGTACCGTGCAACGTTCTGTTTTGCTCATTCTCGTGCCTGACAATGCTGGCGATTGATTTTCCGTCTCGCTTTGGCAATAACTATGCTGTATGTCCATATGTATGTGAATATGAAGTTTGATGCATCTCCAGCAAGCAATTAATATATGTATACATATTTGATTTACATATATCGTCAATAATATATAAGTCAACAATATATTTATGCTTGCTTTACATAATTAAGGATCAACGTACATATTTTATCACTTTCCAGCAGTGAGCTCTGCTCACTCAACCGGTGCTCAGCTGTAAAAGTATGCACTGGAAATTCGCCATGTTTGAAAACGATATTCCAATAGCTCACCATGCTCGCCCCTGGAAGCAAGCAGCAGAATATATTTGGTTCTCTCTTACCTCAACCTGTTGCGCTTTACTGTATTTCAACGGAACACTGAATCAACTTGCACAATCAAGACCTTGCCATCAGATAAACAAAATTATTTTATTTTTTTTGGCGTACATACATTTATTTAGTTATTTTGTTGTATTTTTATTATTTTTTACTTGGGAAACGTACAATTAAAATATTTACAATAGCATTTAAATGTATTTATTATTCGGTTTTAAATTGTTTTGTTGTCTAAGCGCGAATTCGTAGCGAATTTTAAATCTTTTATATATTTACTGCATCTTCTTTATCATTATTCAAAATTGTTTTGGTGTTTTCTTGTTGTTGTCATTTACAATAACGGTAATTTATATAACCATTTCTTGCCCTTGCCTAAACTACATATAAAAAAAATAATAACTGTTTTTTTGTTTGTTTTTGTTTTTTTTTGGTTTAACACAAAACTCTATAAATAATAATTGTCGCGTTAGTTGGACACATGTTAAATAATTTGAATTTCTAATTGCGTTTTTTTCTCGCATTTATTCAAATTTTTTCTTTTTTTTTCAGTTAAAAAATATTTTTTATAAAATATAAAAATAATAATTAACATAAAAACGTTCTGAACTGGTTTGGTTTTTGTGTTTGCTTTTGTTTTTCTGTTGTTTTTCATTCCCTCTCTGTTGATCCTCATTTTACAGTTGTCGATTAGCACTGCTGCCACTTCCAATCCACCTCACTCTCTCTCTCTCTCTCTCTCGCTTACATATCCAGGCAACAATGCGATATTTGTTTACTTTGCCGCTGTCGTTGCATCACCCGTGTGATTATTACTAGTGTTGCCTCCTCTCTTACGTTGGGCAACTCCACCGCCGGCTGTTGTTGCTGTTAACGCAGAGTTGCCAGATTTGGGTTTTGTGCGCGTCGAGCCATTAGCAACGCGCACATTGCCTGAACTATCTGTGAGATCCTCACTATCACTGGAACGTATATCGCCGGACATCTGTAATTGGGCGAATATAGAAATCAAAATAAATTAATTAAAACCAAGCAATGGTATTCAAAGAGTATGTCATGTAAATATGTTTACATATGTATATAACTTCTTTATTTGATATCTTGAACCTGTCCTGAATCTGTCTCCCGTTCTCTCTCTCTCTCTCTATCTGAGCAAACATGTTGCTTAACTTTCTCAGCATTTGCTGCTGCGCGCGCTGTTAATATGCTTTTCTATGTTACGCAGCGCTGCCAGCGCAATAAGAATGCCATTACTGACATCACAACTCTTGCCCAACACAAACACTAGCGATCTTTCTAGCGCTGTGTTGGCCAAAACAATAATTTGAAATGGTATTAGTTTGACGTCACAGCTTCTACTTAACGTGAATTTCAATGAGTATTTATTTAACTATTGCTACATATGTACAGATGTACATATGTATGTATGGATTGGATTTCTATTTCTAGCTATATCCTCTAACCTTGACGTGAATTTGGATGCATATAACTTACCAGACCCTTTTGCAAAGAGTCGACTACAATCTTTAGAATCATATAGGTCCAAATGATGTGCAGCACCAGCAGCATTAATAGCAACGAATTAAATATATAATAGGCTGGGAACATGGGCAGAATTTGCGGCGCTTCCACAGAGGAGCTGTCAAGGTTAAACAAAAAATATTGTTAATAAGCGATAGTTCTAAATCGATTAGACAAATTAACTGTTACCTATAGATAATGCGCGGATAGAATCCCAGGCGTGTGACAATCCAGACAACTGTGAAGATGGCAAAGATCGCATCACAGACCTTTTGGTAGTTGGCATATTTGGTCAGTTTAGCAGCCTCCAGGAATATATCGGCACAATCGTGCACGACCAGCACCAGGGAGCCGACACGATGTAGATTGCATACCCAACTTAGGGACATGAGAAGCAGTGTAACCATGTGATGTATGAACATTTGCCAAAAATCTTTGCGTTTCACATCGAAAAACTGTGTGGCGGTCAGTGACCAATAGAAGGACATCGATATCATATAATACCACCAGATATCGTTGCTAACAGACTGCAAAATATTGTGAATAAATGAGTGAGTGAGTGAGTGAGAAAATGCTAACGAATCGTATGGCAGACACTCACCTGATGTGGATAGCCATACCAGCAGCTCTTCACGTCCCAGAACCAGGGCTTATCCCACAGCACAATTACACCGAAGATAAAGCTATATAGATAATAGATGCATCGCCATGTATTTTCGCAGAACTTGACTAATGTCGATGGCTTGTCCTGTGCCCGACGCAGGCGCCACCAGCGTTCGATCTGACGCTCGGTCATGTCTGTCTGCTTGGCCAGCGGAGCCAGCTATTAGATGAAGAAAGTACATTTAATTATAGTGATTGATGTATCATGATTGACTCTTTACTGAAGATACAAAATGATGTTCTTAAAAAAACTGATTGGTTTATTAATTGATGAATGCTGATTGACAGTCTTTTTTTTTTTTCACTGAAATTTAATCTACAAAATCGAGATCTACTCACACATTTATGATCCAAATGCGAAGATTTCGCATATGCTGACTCTAATGTAGGAACATTTGCTGCTTTCTTAGGTCTAGAGCTTCGTATGCCTAGCGATTTGCCGATTGGCGATATCCAAAAGCTGTAAAATATATACGAAATATATATATATATGTATATATTGATTAGATATTATAACAGAGTTATTTATTGCGCGCTAATTGATTGGGAATATGACTCATAATCGGGAACAGCTAGAGATTGCGTAGTCAAGGTAATAAACTTGATGGGCTAATACGCGTATTCTATAAATTAGAAATTAGAACATAATTGAGGAAATGTAAGATATCCAAGAAATAAAGTTTATTGTTTATGAACCATTTCTCTCAGGCTCTTCTATTCTTTAACCATTTCTATTCTTTAGCCATTTAAGATTATAGATAATATATTGATTTGCTTATCGACCAAATTATATCATCTTTCGATGACGGCCAAACGCTGATCGGCAGCCATAGGATAAGAAAGGAAAATAAACTAATCAACAATAATTATGTGATGAAGGCAAATCAGTTTAATGAGTGTACAATCTAATACATATACATAAACACATTCAAACTGTGAAGTTTGGCAACGCTGCGCCACTTTACATTTCATTTCGTATGCGCAATGGACATAGCTCAACGAAAATAACGAAGAAGTAAAACAATTGAGATTTCATTTGGAAATTCCAGACGTAGTTCTAGTGAGCATTAAACTGACTGAACTTTGGCAACAGCGCCAAAACAAAATAAATACATTCCATTTATATGCGCAAAAGCAGAAGCAGAAGCAGTGAAAGAACTTCATTTTGGCGTATACAACGCGGAAATTTTTTGTTTTTTTTTTTTTTGCCATCTATTTGAAATTCCATATCGAAATACATCTACATATGGGAAGGGCCGGGAATTGTCGTCTCTCTCATCTGTCTGTCCATCTGTTCATCTGTCCTGTCCGTCTGTCTGGCACGTGTGAAGCATGGCAACACTGTACAAAGCCAGTAGTTGTCCCAGGCGTCCCATGCATAAGCAATTGGCCTAGCAGCATAGGCGCAGCTCCATGGCTTACGCTTATCGGAAGTTCATTTGCTAAATGAAATCGAAAATATGACTGACACCACCGTCACCCTCTCCCCTCACTCCATCCGTCACCCACTCACCCGCTCTCACTCGCATTCTATCTCCTTCGGTTTGAGCGCGCGCGTCTGGCATTTTAAATTGAATTCTTGATTTTTGTGTGCATAGCACATGCCCAAAGAAAGAATCAAATTAAGGAAGCTATATATGTACATATATATGTATATGTATATATATACATATTGTTACATGCTTTTTGACAACCAGCCAATAGGTCATCACATTGATTACACCCCAAAGAAAATTGATGTTAATTATAATGATAAACGTAATTCGATTTGATTTGACATAATGAAACCCAAAGCAAAGACAGAATTATAAGAACGACTGCATAATACTCATTCACATTTCAAGCACCATCAAAAAAATATATAATTATTTATACCCATTTATATAATTCTATTTTAAATTCCCAGCCACGTCTTTAAGTAGGTATTCATAAAATACTAGCGTATATGTATATTAATTATAAAACCAATATACTCACATTTCACATCGTGAATGAGTGTCAGACCACAAAGATATAGCAAATTACATGCCGTCTGGTTGACTTAAGCTTACGCTACGCTGTTTAACCTAACTGAACCTAGTCAGCAAGCCTAATTAAAGATATCGATGTAGATGTTGCCAGATGTGTTCTCAGTGCTGTCAGGCGTTGCACATTTGGTATGTATGCCCGATCGATTCGATTTACGTATTTGATTTTTGTTTCCATATTAATTTGAGCCCGCATAAATAAGTAATTTATATGTATGTAAGCGGGTCTTCTATATAAATGCATATAGCATGGGATGTGACAAGTTTAGAATTTGTAATGCCCACATATAGTAGGAAGCGCACCCTAAACACGTGTCGCAGACCATCGAAAAACAAAAAGTTAATAAATAAATAAACAACAGAAATATGGAAGCCATAAGAATAATAATAAGTAACAAAGTCAATTGAAAGCAAAAGCGAAATAAAAAGAAATAAATAAATAAATAAAATTATAGGAGGAGCAAGCAACCGCTTCCTCTCTCTGATGACCATGAAAGTCTGCCACGAACGATAGGTGGCACCACTGTTTGCACTGCACGCTCTATAATTTGCATCAGAATTGCACCAACGTTACACCCTGATAGAAACTGGATAATAGCTGTTATGCGCTAGCGTCTCGCCAGCTGGCCAAATCCGCATCGGTCATGATTAGGCTTGGGCAATTGTGATATTTAAATAGTTGTAAAGACGATGCAGGCGTGAAGCCTAGCAAATCTATATGAATTCATTTCAGAAGCCAAGTTGAAAGAGGAGCAAGAGAGACGGTGAAATATAGCATAAGCGTTTACACAAAACAAAAAACAAAAATATCTAATTTGACATCGATGTAATGAAAATAGTGTAGGATGATATGCGTGCATGTAATTACAGTTACGTACATTATACACTGAATGCGCGCGTGTGCATATGTTGTAAGTGCTGTCAATTTTGCCTTTTTGCGTAGTTAGCAGATGCCTAGTTTTCGACATTACGATCAAATTTAATATACATATGTATGCAATCTTTTCGTATTCTAAGGCTTATTTAATAAATATGATAAATTAATCACACTTAACACAAATATAAATTAGTTTATATATCTTTTTCAGTCAATTCAAATGCTGGTAGTCTTGGCAGTTTTTGGTTTCTCTCCTTGTTTATCGATAGTTAACAGAACTGCGTCTTGAGTCGGAGCACTCGATTAGCAATTCGCGATACATGCAAGTAGTAATCATAAAAGCAGGAGGAACGAACAAGTGCATATTTACATACTTATTCATTTGTATGTATTTGTAGGTTTGTATGTTCGTTTCATGTCGTCCAAAAATTATTAACTGCAGTAATTGTCGCCTGTTATCAGCACGCATCAGATGTGGGCATGTGTGTATGTAAGAGAGTGTTGCCATTTCGGCAAATTACAGTATGTCCGAAATGTCGACAAGGAGAGAGAAAGAGAGTGAGTGAGAGCAGAAAGTACAAGCAACTCAGTCGCTCGTTGATGATAATTCAACACGCAAGCGATTGGGCGATAAAAACAAACACACTTATTCAGCCGGCATATTTATGTACGTGTGCACATTATATATGTATTTATATATATGTGCATGTATTAAGCGGTGACTCATGCTCTTTAACATAAGCTTTGGACAGTGTCATTCGAGCAGTTAAGCAGGCGATAACAAGATCATTGCCGCCAAAAACAAAAACAAAATCCCATCGTTATCGCTCGTTGCGAAACAGCTGATTTCAAAGCAGAGGCAGAAGAAGGAGCAGCAACAACAATAATAAACAGCAACGGTGTTAATTGACTATTTAACATATATGCATACATATATTGTATTTAAAAGCAAAGCACACATACATGCGTATGAGAGTCTGTATGTGTGCGTAAGCCGGCGACCTTCTGTGTGCGTAAAGCACGTGCACTTTTTTTGGCCTTTCGGTTTGGCCAAACGGCCGACGCCAGCAACAGCGATAAACTAGTTTGGATTTAGATTAACGGCAAAAGGCAATACAATGGCAACCGTATTTGTGTGTGTGTGTGTCTTCATTCTTGGAAATGAGCAAAATGAATATGGGAAAACTGCAATTTACACACATTTATATGTATATACATACATATATACACACACAGGCTATTGTCGCCTGCACGAAGACCCGATTCTGATTAGATTTATCCATTTAGTTACATGTGTGTGTGGGACAATTTTGAAAAAAAAAAAAAAACTAAATTTTATAGCGCTTGGCTGGCCGCGCATTGAGGGTCGGCTGATACGTAATCAGAAGAAATATATGTATGTATGTATGTCTATATAAATACATTCGTATATGCATGCATACATTTTTTTTATACACTCGCACATTTGCACATATGAATGTACATGCATGTGTATGTATATACATACATATGCGGATAATAATCGAAATAGTATATGTGTGTGCATGCTGCTTGGAATGGAAATGCTACTGTTGTATTGTAAGTTTTTTTTTTTCTCTCATACCATTCCAGTGTGTCCAATTTTGGAAAATCTAGCCAGACTTGCCAGGAATGGAACGGAACTGAGTCACAGTCATTCCACATCACACTGACTCAAGCGTGTGTCACACAAACACGCATGCACATTGGTGTGTACACACACCCGCCCACACGCATGTTTGTATGTATTTATAACGTAATTGTGATAACACCGCGCATTATCAAATTTGTATTTTATTTTTACGTAAATCTTGCGCACAAATCTTATCAACAAATGCCCAGTTTGAGTGCAGAAGGTGTTGTTGATGTTGCTATAGCTGTCGATGCCACACATACAAACACACACAAATACATATGAACATATTATAAATGAACAACACACTTGCTTAATTTGTTGGCGACCCTGAAAGCCAATTCTAGTTTCAGAAACTCTAAAAAAATCAAAAATAAAATAAACCTCGTCAAATCTTAACAGCCCTGACAAATATTTATGTCTTATGCAGTTGTAGTTCAATAAGAAACGTCCACACAATATTTCACACCGTGAAGTTAACCTTTAACATTTACTGCTGGCCAAACACACACAAAAAAGTAAATGAACTATAAATTTTGGAAGTGTGGAGTGAAACACATTGCAGGTGCGCCTGACCCCATTTATCTATGTGTACTCGTATGTATGTATATGCACGTGTTTATATGTATATATATATATGTGTGTGTGTGCAAACTTTGTTAGCGCAAATTCACATGAACATTGGTAATTATGTTAATTACAACATGCAAAATGCACGCAACTCACTCACGCACACACACACATATACACATATACAGAGGCGCGCGCGCACATGTTGTAAGTGTGAGAGCAAATATAAGGTTAATTGGCCCCAAAAAGCGTCAAATGCTTTGCTGCACAGTGTGCCAAGTGACGGAATAAATGCCATAAAAAAGTGAAATCTAAATTCAAATGGTATGAATGGTTAAATCATAGAATTATTCATTTAATTGGTATTCGATTGGTTCACCTTTCAATTCAAATTTCAGCTGTAATCTGATTACATTTGCTGCTCACTTATTGATAATGACTCATGTTCTAAGTGCATCGTAATGATTGTTAGGCATTCGTGTCCTATTATCATGAGCAATCGCTTTTTTTCCTATGGCATAATAAAAACTAATATCGCACACAATCTTCAATTCATCGACTTCCACTCGCACGCTAACAAAATTATTTTATTGCGAGTTTTCATTAGCTTTCAACTTCACGTTCCAAGCAATTTCAAAAATTAGCAAGCCTATATTAGTAGAGTGCAAGTACTAAGGCATGATTCGACATTTATTTAGAAGAAAATTATGACATGGTTTTCAAGCTCATTTTCAATGATTCTTAACCACTGTGCAGTACATTTTGTATCCAAATGTGTGTGTGTGTGTGTGTGACTTCATGTATGTGTGTTTATCTATACAAGTAAAGAGCAAATGCACGGCGGGCCGTTATTGTCATGCTTGTATTTGTTTAGTGCATACAAGTATAAACAAATAGTTTTTATTTTTTATTTCTTTGTTAACTAAACAATTAGTAAGCGCTGTGCGCGGTACGAATACCGCAGAACGCTCTCATATTTATGGGAAATCGAGATTCCAATGGAACGCGACGCCAAGCCCGCCACCGCTGCTTTTGAAATTGAAGAAGTGGATGAAGGAAAACATAAAGTTGCAAGGCGTTGACAAAGCCAAAGGGAAACCAACAACAAACACGCATACTCACACAAACACACATAAATACATAAACACATATACAGTTATATGAATACACACAATGTTGGGCGTTTCCACGTGAGGTTATGTTTGGCTTAAAAGAGCAAAAATGTGTACATATTTATATACATACATATGTATGCATGTGTATGCGTGTTGTTGCGGCGCGCGACGACGTCAGCTTACTGTACATTGCACAGCATGCACACGCACACAACCAAACAAACGGAGCGTTCGCCTGTGTAGGTGTGACTGTGTCTATGTGTGTGTAGCTGTCCGCACAATGCCAGTGCTTGAAAGCGAAGCGGTCAATGGGAACATTTACAGTAAAATAAACCAGCACACATACACATTCACATAAAACGCCGCATAAGTTTAATGAATTGCGGCGACGCTGGAAAAACGCTAAAGTAAAAAGGGCGTACACACAAACATGCTTGTAGATAATAACTGTAAGTTTGCATGTACGTGTGTATATTTGGATAAATTTTTCTTTTACTTACCGCTCCAATGTGTAACGCACAAGCATAACTACAGCGGCTAATGGAATGGGCCAAATTAAATCCCGATAATCGGCGTGCACAACATCTGGACGAGAGCCGGGCGCAATGTCCGCCCATGTCGTATTTGGCGGCAGCCAAATGTGCGTACTCCAAAATGCATTGGTGAATTTATTGATTATGTCCATGTTTCAAATTCCCTTCGGTTCTCTTCTTACTGCTGCTGTTACTTTTTCTTGTGTCTTTTTACTGCGGCTGGTGTTGGCTTCTCCGGTCTTCTCTTTTTGTTTGTTTGTGCCGCAGTTGAACAGGAATTTGTGTGTGAGTATAGACGAGGCGGCTTCCTCTGTTGGGTTTTTTTTTTTTTTTTTTTTTTTTTTTTTAAGGGATTTTTGGTTTGACTGTTGATTGGTGTTTGTTGATTTATTTTTGTTTAGTGTTTTTTCATGTTCGTTGTCAGTTATATATCTATATCTATATATATTTAAAATATATTTGGCTATATATATTTATGTGCATATGTGTGTATATTGCATTGTAGAGCAACATAAAAAAAAAAAATTAAACAAAATATACCACGCGTTGTGAGTAGCAACACACGAACACATACACACACGCACACCAGCGCGTACTGAGAACTAACCGCGCCGAAAATGACAAGCGAAGTGGTCGGCGCCGGACTCAGAGTAAACTGGAACTGGAACTTCGCGTAGAACACAGTTACAAAATATCGACAGAGATAAACGAATTGTTGACGAGTTTATTTTAAGCGTATTAAAAAGATTTCTATTAATTATTTCAATGATACACGTATTTATGTTAATATGTGTATATATGAATATGCGAAGCGCGCACACACGAACCGCTTATTTATATTATTATTGAGTGTGATGGTTCGTTCTCGCTACCCGCTTGACAGCATTGCCAACACTGTAGCTAGTGTTTCCAGCACTTGAGGGCACATGACGATTTATTCTAAATAAGTAACTCTGTTATGCTTTACATGAGAATAGCGATGTGTTAAATGCTCTCCTTATGTCTCTATCGGCATATCGATAGCTGATAATGCAGCCCTTATTCACTCTCATTTGCCGAGGACTGTATGCATTTAGCAACACTGCTGCACACTGTTTTTCTTTTTTTTGACAATTGTGCTGCTTCTTCGTCTTTGGGTATTTTTGTATTGTGACACTGCAAGCGACGAACTTTGTGTGTTAATTTTAGTTAAATTCATTTTTAGCATATAATTTAGTTATTTAATTTATTACAATGGCTGAATTCTTGGATTCTGAAGCCGCCGAATCGGAGGTATGATAACCGTGAAGTTTTTGCACGCGCGCAAAATGCGATTTCTTTGCATTGCTACGCGTTTTGTGCTGCCGTAGGCGCGCGTGTGTGTGTATATATAAATATATATACATATATATGTAATTAGATGTATATAAATATATGTATTGCATTTTCTCTTTTGCCTGCAGGATGAGGAAGAATTGGATGTGCATGAGCGGAAAAAACTAAAGAAGCTAAAAGCCGCCGTCTCCGACAGCAGTGAAGAAGAAGAAGGTGCGTTTACCGATCATAAAAGCCCGCTAAATTGATACATATTTCCAGTAAATGTTCGAAAAATTTAGCTCTTCCTACTAAAGTTAACCAACTTTCTGTCCTGTAGATTAGTTTATATACATATATGTATTCTGTGTGTGTGTGTGTGTACATGCATATATTCATATGCGTGTGTGTGTAGTATATGTGTCATAGTTTGGACAATTATAGCCGCTCCAATCACTCTGCCTCCCCCCTCTAAGACAGGTGTCTACTTACATATTTTTGTTTACAACATTGAGGTTAGGTTTTATGTTATTTATACCCTTTGGCAAAAAAAAAAAAAATGTATTTCAATTTCATCAGAGGTTCATATTGTGTATTGTGCATCAAATGTGACATCTAATCAAAGTGACGTACAGCTTTTGCAATTATTTCAAACAAGCAGTCGAAATATATATAGGAGATTTCTAAATGACGCATACAAGCCTTTTACAATTAATATATTTACCATCTTTATGTGCCTCGGTAGACGATGAGGAGCGCTTGCGCGAAGAGCTTAAGGATCTGATTGATGACAATCCCATTGAGGAGGATGATGGCAGCGAAAATGATTCGGATACTGGCAGTGGAGGTGACGAGGATGGAGGCAGCGGCAAGAAGCGCAAAAAGCATGAGGATGATGATCTGGATGATCGCTTGGAGGACGACGATTACGATCTGATTGAGGAGAATTTGGGCGTTAAGGTTGAGAGACGTGTAAGTTAACCATTGTGGACTACAAATACTATGAAACGATTGACAATTTGTAACTTCATTTTTCTTTTTTAAATCATATTAGAAACGTTTTAAGCGCCTGCGACGCATTCATGACAACGAAAGCGATGGCGAGGAGCAGCACGTGGACGAAGGACTTGTACGCGAGCAAATTGCTGAGCAGCTATTCGATGAGAATGATGATGTATGTATCATAAATAATACGCATTCATAATTATGGCCATTAACAATTGATTTCCCATTGCCCTCTGTAGCAGAGCATTGAGAGGCGCAGCGAGCGCAGCATTCGTGAGGCGGATGCCTTTGATGACGAGGAGAGCGAATCGGATGCTGATGATTTTATTGTGGATGACAATGGGCGTCCCATAGCCGAAAAGAAAAAGAAGCGACGACCCATATTTACAGATGCGTAAGTATAGATACACATCAATACATATAGATAAATAGTTACATATAAATGCAATACATATATTTCATTATGGGTTAGCTATTGAGTTGGTATAAACGCTCAGGTCGTCAGGTACAATTAAACAATTTCTTTTTTTTTTCATATGTCATATCGATAAAGATTGACTGACATATGTCTTTGTGTATGCTTTGATTGAAGAAGAAAAAGAATATAATAATCAATTATATATTAGAATAAGCATATTTAATATGTACTTCGCTTTACTAAGTAATATATAATATAGTTATATATCTGCTTTCGATTGTTTAAACTAACTGTAATGTTACAAACAAATCTCTTTCGTATAGCTCCCTGCAGGAGGGCCAAGATATCTTTGGCGTTGATTTTGACTACGACGATTTTTACAAGCCCGAAGAGGATGAGTATGAGGAGGAATCGGAGGGCGATGAATATGATGAGGATCTGCTTGGAGATGATTTCCGAGCGGCGAAGAAGAAGAAATCACCGAAAAAGAAGGCAATCAAAAAGACGATATTTGATATATATGAGCCAAGTGAATTGAAACGTGGCCATTTCACTGACTTGGACAATGAGATACGAAAAACCGATATACCCGAGCGGATGCAGTTGCGTCAGGTGCCGGTGACGCCGGTGCCGGAGGGATCCCATGAGTTGGACGACGAGGCCGATTGGATATATCGTTTTGCGTTCTGCAAACAGACGGTCTCCGAGCAGGAGAAGGCGGACAATCGCGAGAAGATGCGCAAGCCGCCAACGGCTGTGAATAAAATCAAACAGACTTTGGAATTCATACGCAACCAGCAGTTGGAGGTGCCGTTCATAGCATTCTATCGCAAGGAGTATGTGAAGCCAGAGCTGAACATCGATGATCTGTGGAAGGTTTACTACTACGATGAGCGCTGGTGCCAGCTAAACGATCGCAAGAGGAAGCTGAAGCAACTGTTTGAGAAGATGCGACAATTTCAGCTGGAAACACTTTGCGATGATCCAGATAAGCCGCTGCCGGACGATGTACGCCTGATGCTCGACAGCGATTTCGAACGCCTGAACGATGTGCAGTCCATGGAGGAGCTGAAGGATGTTCACATGTATTTTCTGCTCAACTACTCACATGAGTTGCCCAAAATGCAGGCCGAGCTGCGACGCAAACAGCTGCAGGAGCGACGCGAGGCGCGGGCACGCAAACAGGCATCAGCAGCAGCTGCCGCCGCGGGCAGTGATGGTGAATCGGGCGTGGATCTAACTGATAAACTGGATACGGCAGAGCTCGATGAGGCCGAGGAGCTCGAGTTGGCTGCCGAGGAGCAATTGAAACAGGCACCAAATAGCAGTCCCTATGCTGTATTCCGCAAGGCCGGCATCTGTGGCTTTGCCAAACACTTTGGCCTAACGCCCGAGCAATTTGCCGAGAATCTGCGGGATAATTACCAGAGGAATGAAGTCAACCAGGAGAGCTTAAGCCCCACAGAGATGGCCAAGCAGTATTTGTCGCCACGCTTCATGACCGTCGACGAGGTGCTGCATGCTGCCAAATATGTTGTGGCCAGGCAGCTGGCCCAGGAGCCGCTGTTGCGTAAGACAATGCGTGAGGTGTACTTCGATCGGGCACGCATCAACATACGGCCCACAAAGAACGGCATGGTACTGATCGACGAGAATTCGCCCGTCTATTCGATGAAATATGTGGCCAAGAAACCGGTGGGTGATCTATTTGGGGACCAGTTCATCAAGCTGCTGATGGCCGAGGAGGAGAAACTGTTGGAGATTACGTTTCTCGATGAATTTGAGGGTAATGCGAATGCAAATGGTCCGCCCGGTGATTACATTACAGAGGCCACACAGCTCTATCATCTGGATCAGTTCTCCAAGAATGTGCTGGAGTGGAATGCACTGCGTGCCGAATGCGTTCAGTTGGCACTGAAGAAATGGGTCATACCGGATCTAATCAAGGAGCTGCGTGCAACATTGCACGAGGAGGCGCAACAGTTTGTGCTACGCTCGTGCATAGCCAAGCTGTACAAGTGGCTGAAGGTGGCACCATATAAGCCAGAGATGCCGCAACATCACAATTTCGAGGAGTGGAGCACATTGAGGGGCATACGATCCATGGGTCTGGCCTATGATCCGGATCAGTCGGTGGCCGCCTTCTGTGCCATAGCCAGTCCGGAGGGCGATATCTCTGACTACTTACGATTGCCCAGCATACTCAAGCGTAAGAATTCCTACAATGCCGAAGACAAGGCTCAAAAGTTGGCCGATTTGCGTAAGCTGAGCGATTTCATCAAGATGAAGAAACCGCACGTTGTGGTCATTGGCGCCGAGTCGCGTGATGCTCAAATGATACAGGCGGACATACGCGAGATACTCAAAGACTTGGAGGTCAACGAACAGTTCCCGCCCATCGAGGTGGAGATCATTGACAATGAACTGGCCAAGATCTATGCCAATTCGAAGAAGGGCGAAAGTGACTTCAAGGAATATCCACCCTTGCTGAAGCAAGCTGCCTCGCTGGCGCGCAAAATGCAGGATCCGTTGGTTGAGTACTCCCAGCTGTGCGATGCGGACGATGAGATACTCTGCCTGCGCTACCATCCGCTGCAGGAGCGTGTGCCACGTGAGCTACTGCTGGAACAGCTCAGCCTGGAGTTCATCAATCGTACCAGCGAAGTGGGCTTGGATATCAATCTGATGGTGCAGAACTCCCGCACCGTCAATCTGCTTCAATATATTTGTGGACTGGGTCCGAGGAAGGGCCAGGCGCTGCTGAAGCTGCTCAAGCAGAGCAATCAACGACTCGAGAATCGGACACAATTGGTGACGGTGTGCCACCTGGGTCCCAAGGTCTTTATCAATTGCAGTGGCTTCATCAAGATCGACACCAGTTCGCTGGGCGACAGCACGGAGGCGTATGTCGAGGTGCTGGATGGCTCGCGTGTGCATCCGGAGACATATGAATGGGCGCGCAAGATGGCCATCGATGCCATGGAGTACGATGATGAGGAAACAAATCCAGCCGGTGCACTCGAGGAGATTCTCGAATCGCCGGAGAGACTGAAGGATTTGGACTTGGATGCATTTGCCGTGGAGCTGGAACGTCAGGGATTTGGCAGCAAAAGCATTACGCTCTACGATATACGCAATGAGCTGAGCTGCCTGTACAAGGATTACCGTTCACCCTATCAAAAGCCCAGCGCCGAGGAGCTCTTCGATATGCTAACCAAGGAGACGCCGGACTCATTCTATGTGGGCAAGTGTGTGACGGCAATGGTGACTGGATTTACGTATCGGCGTCCGCAGGGCGATCAGCTGGACAATGCCAATCCGGTGCGCATCGATGACTCCGACAGCTGGCAATGTCCGTTCTGTCACAAGGATGACTTCCCGGAGCTGTCCGATGTGTGGAATCATTTCGATGATAACAATTGTCCGGGCCAGGCGTCCGGCGTGCGTGTACGGCTCGAGAATGGGCTGCCTGGTTTCATACACATCAAGAATCTGTCCGACAAACAGGTGCGCAATCCGGAGGAACGTGTCCGCATCTCTCAGACCATCCATGTGCGCATCATTAAAATCGACATTGATCGCTTCTCGGTCGACTGCAGCTCCAAGTCGGCCGACCTGAAGGATGTGAACAACGAATGGCGACCCAGACGGGATGCGTTCTATGATTACGTCACCGAGGAGCTAGACAATCGCAAAGTGTCGGATGCCAAGGCGAAGGCCATGAAGCGCAAGACCTATGCCAGACGCGTCATAGCCCATCCAAGTTTCTTTAACAAGTCCTATGCGGAGGTCATCGCCATGCTCGCCGAAGCGGACCAGGGCGAGGTGGCTCTGCGGCCCAGCAGCAAGTCCAAGGATCATTTGACGGCCACGTGGAAGGTGGCCGACGACATCTTCCAGCACATCGATGTGCGCGAGGAGGGCAAAGAGAATGACTATAGTCTGGGACGCAGTCTCTGGATCGGCACCGAAGAGTTTGAGGATCTCGACGAGATCATCGCACGTCACATCAATCCCATGGCTCTGGCTGCCCGCGAGCTCATCCAATACAAATACTATAAGCCGAACACGGCGCCAGCGAACGTGAATGAGCGTGACTTCATGGAGCAGCTGTTGCGCGAGGAGAAGGCGCGTGATCCGAAGAAGATCCATTACTTCTTCACGGCATCGAAGAGCATGCCGGGCAAGTTTCTCTTATCCTACCTGCCCAAGACGAAGGTGCGCCATGAATATGTCACTGTCATGCCGGAGGGCTATCGGTTTCGTGGCCAAATCTTTGACTCGGTCAGCAGTCTGTTGCGCTGGTTCAAGGAGCACTGGCTAGATCCGCCAACGGTAATGTCCAGTTCGATCAGTGCCACGCCCGCCAGCAATACGCCCACAAATGCGCACAACATGATGCGACCACCGCCCACATCGGCGCTCAGCTCACTCGGCGGCAGCGGCAGCGGTGGCGGAGCTGTCGGATTCAGTAGCTCGGGCAGTATGACGGGCGGCACACCACGCAGCGGCATCAGCAGCAGCGATATGCGCAGCTCCAGCGCCTACTCAATAACGCATTCCATGGGCGCGGTCGGCGGGTCAGGCGCTGGCGGCATCGGCTATGGCAGCGGTAGCGGCAGCAGCTCCAGCCTGGGCCTCATCAATACCGGTGGCCTGGGTCACTTTGGCAGCGGCACGCCCACCTTTGGCGCCCACATCAATACGCCGTACACGCCAAGCGGCCAAACACCATTCATGACGCCCTATACGCCGCATGCGACGCAAACGCCACGCTACGGCCACAATGTTCCAAGCCCCAGCTCCCAGTCGAGCAGCAGTCAGCGTCACGGTCACTATGGCGGCACGCCCCGCTACTATGACAACGCCTACAACAGCGGCAATCTGTCGCAGCATCACCAGCAGCAGTCACAGCATTCGCATTCGCATGGCCATGGCCATGGACATTCACAGCAGCAACATCCGCATTTGTCGCAGCAGCACCATCATCATATGCATCAGCAGCAACGTGCCAAGGAGAATCTGGACTGGCAGCTGGCTAACGATTCATGGGCGCGTCGCAAACCCCAGCATCAGCATCAGCAGCAACAGTCGCAGCAGCAGCAGCTCGGCTTGGGCATGAGCCTGGGTATGGGCTATGGCAGCAGCAGTGGTGTTGGCGGTGTCGGCAGTGGTGCCGGCTCCACGCCCACCAACGAATACCATACGAGCAGCAGCAGTACGAATCGCAGTTCCGCTTCAGCTGCCGCCGTGGCAGCATCAGCTGCTGTTTCTAGTAGTGCTGCTAGTGGTGGCGGCATCTCTTCCAAGTCTTCGGTGCGCAGCACGCCGCGCACAAACACATCGCCGCACTCCATGAACTTGGGCGATTCAACGCCCCTATATGACGAAAACTAGGACTAGAACTAGGCAGTGCGTGAGTGTGACTATTTGATCTGGATTTAATTATATATGTATACATAAGTAATAAGTATATTACTCTGTAAACTCACAAATTAAGCAAAACTGGAAACTCAACGCAAAGGAAAACCTTAAGCATTAAAAAAAGCATTAAATAAAATAACTACACAACAAAAAACAAACAAAAATTCAAATCAGAGACTTTTTCTTCAATTAATTACAAATGTACGATCGATAAATGGTTATCGATGTCGATAGTCATATGATGCCAGGAGGGTAAATGTTGCCAATTGAGTCCTCCCAATGCTAAATGTTGCCAACCGACTGCAGCTCCATTGTCAAATGTTGCCGAAGCTCAGTTGCCAAATGTTGCCATTGAAATTCCGTTTTTGACGAATGAGCAAATAATTCCTTTACAATTCCCACATGTTCAACAAAAGGTTTTTAGGCGATTTGAATTAGAAAGAGACGGAAATAGCCGGGATGCTTCAGGCAATTTATACAATGCTTTGTTTACAATTCATCAGTGGATATTATTATTAAAATTTTCAAATACTAATTTTATTCTTATTCTCATTTACCATTATTCAATTTTTTAAATTGCTGAGGCAATCATTTTTTAAACTGCCAAAAAGTCCCATACAAATTCCTGTTTTTGTCATTTGAAAAAAATTAGATAGAGATGGAAATAGCTGAAATTAAGGAATAGTTAATTGTAGATTACAAATAAAGTAATACGAGTTAATTGTAGATTACAAATAAATTACAAAAATAGATTTTTTTTCTTCTAAGAATTGATTTATTAAAGACATAGATTTAACAGCATCAATATCAACGAGTTTTATACAAAAAAAAATTGTAATATCAAAAGGACATAAAATGTATTCTGCCTCTTCTCTCTTTGCGGAATGAAAGTTTCAGTGTTGTGCAACGTCCTTCGATTTAGTTCTTGGCCATGCCCCGTTTGATCGCATAGACCAGCGCCATGCCCAGTATTATTGCGCCCACGGCCAAGCCGATTTCTCTGCAACTTTTGCAACAAACAAGAAAATAATATTAAATACATATGTATGTGTGCATGTATGGGAGTGTGTGTATGTGTGTGTGTGTCTTTGCATAAAAGGCTGGGCTAATCGCAAATAAATCAAAGCTAAGTTGGGATCTCAATTGGGATTTGGTTTTAGCCTGTGGCATTCGCGCTTAGTGCAAGATGCAACATTGCTTAGGTGTGGCATTCGCATTCGCATTCGCATTCACATTGTCATCAGCTGTGGGCGAGGCACTAATCAATTAAACCAAAGAAAAGTATAAAGAAAGACAAGAAAATAAAAGCAAAACAAGCAAAGGGAAATTTCTGTTTACGCTTAACTATTTGAGGTGCTCCAAGTCTTAGATATTGCAGACATACATATAGACAAAAGCATATAACTCTCCCACAGACATATGTGGGTAAATATATGTATGTATATATGGTATGGTATATACATAAAGATGAGTTTGATTATAAATTCGCTGTTTTGATTTTAAAGTAAAGAAATTAGAGAAAATTAAAGATTTACTTTTAATTGTCATTAAAAAAAAAGAAAAAAAAAAGACATTTGAATATGTCAACATCTAAAATACTTGAATATTTTTACAAAAATAAACTACAAATTTGGTGCATTTTTAAAACATATAACATGCAAATTTTGAAACTCACATCTCAGTCTTTTCTTTTTTTTTTTTACATTTTTTCTTTTTATTGATTTTGTGGTGTCGCTTAGCTTTTGTAGAATTTAACTTTAGTGCTGGCGAACGATTTGAAGCTTGAAAAAATAATATATATACACATACATATATACAAATGCATATCCAATTAGACAAATCCTGTTAGTTGAGGAATTAATGCAAATAGCTGTAAGTCGATATTTTGAATGAAAGTGCAAACTGAATTCCTTGACTTCAGCTGTAGTCCTATTTGGTCATCAGGTTAAATGATATGTAAGCAGTGGTAGTTACATCTTCAGGCTATTTTTAATGGATGCAAAATACCAGCCAGCTTCAATTGTCCGACTCCTATTCCTATTCATTTTGATCCTGCTTATTGGACAGCAAATGTAAGCTGTAAGCCAACTTGCAAACATGCGAAATTCTTATTGGATGCGTCAGTGAATGAAGTGGAAATCGATTCCGATCTGCAGGCCTTATGGAACGTGCTAATTAGATGACGCAGCCAATCAATGATGATAATGATGCGCTGATTTCTCATACTGAAGTCAGCTGAAATTTCATGCTCATGCTCAGGCTCAAGCTCAGGCTCATGCTTGTCAACTGAGTTGAAGGTCTTGCGATTACAATTGCAAAAAAATAAGGAAAACAAACAAAAACAACTCACCCCACGGCCCCTTTTTTCTTAATGTCGGCGGCTGCCAAATTGCCAATCAGAAATTTCTTCATTATCTCCCTTGAAATGAGATGAGAGAGCGAAAGAGAAGGCAATGTGAATAAAAGTACCAGCTGCTGTGCTAATGGAAACTTACCGGGCCTCCTGGCTGTGGCCCACATCCAGAAATTCCCGTGTGCCATTGCGACCCGCCACAGATATCAGCGAATCCTCGCCGCCAGGATGCTAGGCACACAAGTTAACAGAGATTAACATTACTTTCATATACAGAACGAGAGAGACGTACCTCCTGCTTGAACTTGGTCAAATCGTACACCTTGTCCTCAATCACCACCCACAAATCATTGGCTTTGTTGTGCTTTTTCACTTCGGCCAAACTGATTTCCCTGCTCATTCTGCAAAGCTAAGCAACACCACAATTACAAACCGAAATAATTACAAAATATTTTACTGAACACTGAAGTGTGTGTGAATGTACTAGTGTGTTGAGAACTAAATTTCGACTACAGCTGTTTTTAGTGATGGAAGCAACACAAGCCGATTAGTCGCAATATCGATATTCCGCAAATGTTGCTAACGTTATAAGCGTTGGACACATGCTGCTCTGTTATTGACAGACTTACTTCATCGATACATGTTGCTAAATGCTGCTCTCAGCTACTTACCAGAATTCCAACAACTAAAACACAACATACATATTTAACGATCCTCAGTTAGATCCTACTAAAATAAAATTCAGAGCTTTTTATTATTGAACGCACACAATGGAACTTTTATTGAATATTTAAATATTTTAGGATTTTGCGAAACATTTACTGCCAATTAAACATCAAATGGAATACATTTTTGTTAGCCGAGTACATATATAGTTTCCAATATTTATATAATATAGCGGTTTTTATAATTTTCAAATTTAATTACCACCACGTAGACGGAGCACCAAGTGCAAAGTAGACTCCTTCTGGATGTTGTAGTCGGACAGAGTGCGTCCATCCTCCAGCTGCTTGCCAGCGAAGATCAGACGCTGCTGATCTGGGGGAATACCCTCCTTGTCTTGGATCTTGGCCTTAACATTTTCAATGGTGTCCGAGGGCTCGACCTCCAAGGTGATGGTTTTGCCAGTCAAAGTCTTGACGAAGATCTGCATGCCACCACGCAGACGGAGGACCAGATGAAGGGTCGACTCCTTCTGGATGTTGTAGTCGGACAGAGTGCGTCCATCCTCCAGCTGCTTGCCAGCGAAGATCAGACGCTGCTGATCTGGGGGAATACCCTCCTTGTCCTGGATCTTGGCCTTAACATTCTCAATGGTGTCCGAGGGCTCGACCTCCAAGGTGATGGTTTTTCCAGTCAAAGTCTTGACGAAGATCTGCATGCCACCACGCAGACGGAGGACCAGATGAAGGGTCGACTCCTTCTGGATGTTGTAGTCGGACAGAGTGCGTCCATCCTCCAGCTGCTTGCCAGCGAAGATCAGACGCTGCTGATCTGGAGGAATACCCTCCTTATCCTGGATCTTGGCCTTGACATTCTCAATGGTGTCCGAGGGCTCGACCTCCAAGGTGATGGTTTTTCCAGTCAAAGTCTTGACGAAGATCTGCATGCCACCACGCAGACGGAGGACCAGATGAAGGGTCGACTCCTTCTGGATGTTGTAGTCGGACAGAGTGCGTCCATCCTCCAGCTGCTTGCCAGCGAAGATCAGACGCTGTTGATCTGGGGGAATACCCTCCTTGTCCTGGATCTTGGCCTTAACATTCTCAATGGTGTCCGAGGGTTCGACCTCCAAGGTGATGGTTTTGCCAGTCAAAGTCTTGACGAAGATCTGCATGCCACCACGCAGACGGAGGACCAGATGAAGGGTCGACTCCTTCTGGATGTTGTAGTCGGACAGAGTGCGTCCATCCTCCAGCTGCTTGCCAGCGAAGATCAGACGCTGCTGATCTGGGGGAATACCCTCCTTGTCTTGGATCTTGGCCTTAACATTCTCAATGGTGTCCGAGGGCTCAACCTCCAAAGTGATGGTCTTGCCAGTCAAAGTCTTGACGAAGATCTGCATGCCACCACGCAGACGGAGGACCAGATGAAGGGTCGACTCCTTCTGGATGTTGTAGTCGGACAGAGTGCGTCCATCCTCCAGCTGCTTGCCAGCGAAGATCAGACGCTGCTGATCTGGGGGAATACCCTCCTTGTCCTGGATCTTGGCCTTAACATTCTCAATGGTGTCCGAGGGTTCGACCTCCAAGGTGATGGTTTTGCCAGTCAAAGTCTTGACGAAGATCTGCATGCCACCACGCAGACGGAGGACCAGATGAAGGGTCGACTCCTTCTGGATGTTGTAGTCGGACAGAGTGCGTCCGTCCTCCAGCTGCTTGCCAGCGAAGATCAGACGCTGCTGATCTGGGGGAATACCCTCCTTGTCCTGGATCTTGGCCTTAACATTCTCAATGGTGTCCGAGGGTTCGACCTCCAAGGTGATGGTTTTGCCAGTCAAAGTCTTGACGAAGATCTGCATGCCACCACGCAGACGGAGGACCAGATGAAGGGTCGACTCCTTCTGGATGTTGTAGTCGGACAGAGTGCGTCCATCCTCCAGCTGCTTGCCAGCGAAGATCAGACGCTGCTGATCTGGGGGAATACCCTCCTTGTCTTGGATCTTGGCCTTAACATTCTCAATGGTGTCCGAGGGCTCAACCTCCAAAGTGATGGTCTTGCCAGTCAAAGTCTTGACGAAGATCTGCATATTTCTCTTGTCTACAGTAATTAAGAAAAATTAAAAATAAAAATTAGAAAGAAATTGGCTTGTATGTATGCTCAAGGAACTTGAGAAATCGATTAAATGCTAGCTGAGGTCATGCTGACGCATGCAGCCCTGGAAGACATAATTTAAATACTCTGCTCGAAGTGCGCAGAGAATTTTTCTGCGTCGTGACCTAGTTTCGTAAATTGGAACAAATGACTGCGCACACTAAAATAGTTTATCGCAATAATCAACGTATACATACTATATGTATGATGCACTAATTTCTACACTTAATTTCACCACTCCAAAAATATATAACGAAGAATGACTAATCAGTTTTTGTTGCTTCTTTTTCTAATCACCCCTGCAATGCATGAGTGTAGATATATACGCATGCATGCATATATACATACATATGTATGTATGTATATATTCACTAACTGCACTTGTTCTTTGTCCGACGCCATTTTTAAAGTGTGAAAAATGTAAAATGGCGTTTGCAACTACGCACTTACAGTATACCTAAAAAAAAATGTCCGATTTAAATTGTAAGCAATAAAGAAGGATCTAATATATGAACTTAAAAGAAAATGTTTATTATTTACAGTTTTCCCCCAATATATGCATGTAAATGCCCATTATATACATATGCCCACATTAATATGTGTAGTCGTCTGTGTGTGTGCATTGCATGCACAATTTTCTTTGTTCCTAAATGCAGTTACAATTTTTCAATGAAAACTAGCAAATTATAGAGCTTTCTAGATACTCGTGAAGTTATGTTTCAATAGATGCACTTATAAATATATACGTACCTTTTTTTGTCTTTAGCTAACTATAATTTGAATCAATTATTAAAATAAATTTATTCTTGCACTTTTCTTGTAAATTGGAGTATATGCACTAATGTACGTCTGCTTTGGCTGAGCACTGCCTTACGAATGAGGAAAATATAGCCCACAACGAAATTGGTGTTTTTCGATATAGTCCACTATTTTAATAACATTCGTGTATCGAAGTAAGGTTGCCAAATAAAAGTATCGGATGTCTTAGTAGATTGATGCTGTTAAGCAATTGTAGTCTGGTAATGTTAAATTATAGTGCTGTTAGTTGCAAAGGCTATCTGATTATTGAAAACAGAAACAATTTTTGTTCAAATTGTCTTATAAGCGTTGGACTGCTTATATTTTTTTATTACAAATGACTGAAATATGATTAATATTTATATTATATTATTATTTATATGCGATCACTTTGGTTTGGTTGGCGCTAAATGCAAAATGCCGATAATAGTATGGTATCGAAAAAAAATTCAACAGCCTAAAAAATTCAACTATTTTATTAAAACTAGATTTTAAGATGTGTTATTTAAAATGTAATACATACATTTATTTGAATATTTATTTTTTTAATAATTATTCCAGTCGATAATGGAAAGTGATTGATTTCATATATTATCTTCCCTGCCGGGCCATATCGATAATGAGGAGCATTGAACAGTTTTTGTCATCGAATAATCAGAAGCAAAAACAAAGCCAAAAGGGGCGGACGTAAAGCGCTCGGTACGCGTAATTTTTTGTAATTACTCATTGTCGCCTTCAGAAAATTTTCGGAAGTTGTGTTGATCGTTGACGACAGCAATAAATAATTTTTGCCCACCCAGCCAAACAATAAATTTCGTTGGCATTTTAGTTGTATTTATATAAATATATATACAGATATATATACTTTTTTTCTTTTGCCATGCGAGCAACTCCTATGTGTGTGTGTGTGTTGTGTGTGCATGCAATTGTACATTTTGGTATTATATTTTGCTTTTTTTTTCATTCTTGAAAATTCTAAGTGATTTTAAATTGTGAATTTTATTTTGTCTATGTGTCGGAAATCAAAAATAATAAATTTAAGTTTTTAGTCTATCGGTATCGGTTAGCTGAAATTCGCTGTATAATTTTCTGATAAACAACAAAAACAACCCTGCGCGCACACACAAAAAAAGCATATACAAGAGCGCAGCAACATTAAAACCCGCCCCAACGCGTCGCTGTCGTCGTCGTCGTCTTCATCATCCGCAGCGCAGCCACTGCCATAGACGGCAGAAGCAAAAGCAAAGGCACGCTTACGTTACGCGCTTGCTTGTGGCGTATCGATGCCGTCGAGTTAACGTGTTGTCTCTGTGTGTGCGTGCGTCTGTGTGTATGTGTCTCGTGTCTGTGCTGGATTCTTATAAGAACATTTTTGCCGATTTTTTCAGTAGTGTGTGCAAATTTTTTGTTAATTTTTTTTTGTGCCATTGTAAATTGTTTGCTTACGCAGTTAATTTAATTTAATTTTTTTTTCAACAACAACAGCAGCAGCAACAACAACTTAAACACAAGTGGCAGTGTTTGTTGGTGTCGGCAGAGAGGAAGATAGCGTTCGCATATGTATATACAATATATCAATATATATGTATACGCGTGTGTGTGTGTAAAAGAAGAGAGAGAAAATATTCAAAACCAATTTGATAACCAACTAAGAAAAGGAAAGGAAACGAAAAGAACGTAACAGAAATCGCAGCAAGCAGCAGCAGAGTGCAGCAAACATTGAGCAGCGGCCAGTGGCAGAGACTGAGGCATCCTCATACCTAAACGCTGTTCACGCAGCAACAGTAATTAACTGTGAAACGTAGCGCGAGTCCACAACAAAAACCAAACTCGATCGTGTTTAAAAGAGAGCGGCAAAGCAAGAGAGAACAAGAGAGTGAGTGAGCGAGAAATTGAAAGGCCAGTATCAGCAAATTCGCCGTCTTCGTTTACGTCTTCATCAACGTCTACGGCTACGTCACCATGGACAACTTAATTCCGATCGTCAATAAACTGCAGGATGCATTCACATCGCTGGGTGTGCACATGCAATTGGATTTGCCACAGATTGCTGTTGTTGGAGGACAGTCGGCTGGCAAGAGTTCAGTGCTGGAGAATTTCGTGGGCAAGTAAGTGTGTTTGTCTAGCCAAAAAAAAAAACAAATTTATTTGTTTCTTTACTATCAAAAGAAATACACACAATAAGAAAATCCATATTTTTGCGCGAAAGCATTGATGTCTCTAGATGTAAGAGAGTTGTGAGTGTGTGTGCGTGCGCTAGGCTCGCGCTCTCAGTGTTTGCGCACATATATGTGCATGTGTAGGTGCGCGTGAATTTTGGTGAATAATCAATGAAGCAGCATTCCTGGTTTTTGTTCTTTTTTTTTTTTTTTTTTGTTCTGTTTGGTCTGTGGGTGTTTTGCCAGAAGCAGGAGGCCATCAATAATTTCCCCTCTCCCACTCATATTGATGTACATATGCGTGTATATAGAAACTAGTAAATGCGTATACAGTTGTACATGGTCAGCGTTCTGTTCGCAGTTGCCGCAACAGCATGACAACCACCTTGCACATAGTTTAGTATGTACATACATATATTTATATAAAAGCACGACGAGCTTAATATAAAACAGTTGGTGGCGCTTGCATAGAATCATCGCTGCTGATTAATGTTGAGTAAGCTCTCCAAGCGTATTACGCATGTACTTATACAAACACACCAACACACACACATACATACATATATGTATATAAATACAAATATGCATATTTATGCTGGAACTTAAAAGTCTCGTCGAGTGCCATAAACTCGCTTCCAATAACAGTTACAAAAGAAGAAAAAAAATATAGAAAAAAAAAAACATTTATCAACGACAGTGTGCTCTCTCCCATTTTGTTTCTCCCTCTCTCTTAACTACAGGCACAGCACTTACTTCGTTTACTCTGTGATACCGTTTTATTTGGGGGCCTCTTTCTCTGGCTGCGCAGCGCTCATTGCGCTTCGTTCGTTTTTATCTATCATCGTTTGTCGTCCGCCCCCTGAAAATGAGATGACAAAAACAAATACAATAACCCACAAAATACGTACGCCCCGAAAAAGAAAATAAAAAACGGACAACGGGCAAACTGAAAAAGAAGAAAGAAAAAATCAATGCATGCTGACATTTCCTTTTGCAGCGCGCAGCGCACATGATTTTGTTTCCTTTTTCTTATGTGCGCTTGGCTCTTGTGTTGAATCCAACACGGCCCACTGCGCATACCCTATACACACATACACACACAGATATATACACATACACAAGTCAGCAGCGCTCGCTCCACTTTGCTACACTTCACTTTGACATTTATGCAATGCTGCCGCTGTCGCAGTCGGCGTCGCAGCTAACGCTACCCTACATTTGTGTAGTTGCTGCTTTTGTCACCCACCTCCTCCACTTCAGTCGATTCTGCCTACTGTTGTAACTTTTGTAACTGTTAATGAATGGAACGCGAGCTCTCTGTCTTTCAACCATACACATACACACATAATATACATATTTGCCTGTGTATGCGTGGGTGGGTGTATGTGTGTGTAGGTGGGTTCTATGCAAAATTGCAAAATTACATAATACTCAGCTACTGTTATACACGATAAAATCCTTTTTTGACTTTGACTCCCTCCACCTACAGCATAACGCCCACACACATGTATAAGCATTTATATACATATGCATGTATGCATGTGTAGCGCAATCTAACCATCTTATGTAGTTTTGATATTTATGCTTTCTGTATGTGAGTCCTTGCCAAACACACACATTCACATAAATATTTCTATACATACATATATACTATGATACAAATTATGTACGCATTAGAATAGGACGTGGGTGTTTTTAACACTACTGGCAACATGAGATTAATATACACACACATACATACATAGAGTCCGTCTTCGCATATAGAGCTGATATATATGCAGTTTTTCTTATGTAAGCTAGCGTGCAGTCAATAGCAACAACAACAATGGCAGCAACAGCAGCAGCAGATTGGCCAAGCGCAGTTCATTTGCTGAGCCGTTAGTTTTCGCATGCGCCGGCCACACACACACATATATATATATATATATATATATATATATATATATATATATATATATATATATATATATATATATATATATATATATATATATGGCTACAGGCGTATGTACATACATACATACATATGTTATGTACATATACATATGTATGTATGTACACATAGTATCTATATGCATATGTGCATGCATTTATGTATATACATATTTATACAAATATATGTGTATGTGCATATGTGTGCGTTAATGACCTAGTTTTTCTTATACTTTATGCTACTTATGCTGATGCAGGTTTTTTTTTGTTCCCATCAATGTCAGTTAATGATGCTGCAGAGACTTCAACTTATAGAGAGAGAGAGAGAGAGAGAGAGAGAGAGTGGCAGAGACAGAGTGTCTGTTCAATGTCAACTCAATAGCAACAGCAGCAGCAGCATCTGCCTCAAAAGCCCAGCTTGAAATGTCAATAGTTCATGGTATTTGTTGTTCCTTTGGCACTTTCTTAAATACTTAATATATAAACATACACATACACATGCATATCATATGTATGTATATGTTTTAATGTAAATAGCGGTTATTTATATTATATATAAATGGGAAATTTCTATGCAGTTGAATGAATAATGACTCTCTCTCTCTCTCTAAATATATTTAAATATATGACTGACGCACGTAAATAGAAAACAAAAACCACAAAAAATAAGGGCAATAACCTATTTAAATTGAAAAAAAAAGAAATACATCAACATAAAAGTTGCAAAAAAAAATTATTGAAACGACAGCGAAAGCAATGAGAGCCAAAGAATGCGCAGCAGCTGATCTCATAATTCGTGCGTATGCGTGTGTATGCGTGAGAGAGTGGTTTGTTCTCGATTGCAGCAGTAGCAGAAAGAGAGCGATCGCTGCGTTCTCTACAGCTGACGCAGCCGGCGTATTGCATTACAGCCGCATATACAAATGCAAATGCGTCTATGTATATATATTTATGTATATATGTTTGTGTACTTAACTTTAGCTGCTGTTTTGT